AGTTGAGTCGTCAACACTGGCATCCATGAAGGCCTACCATGTGACGATCTCAATGGCCTCCGACATAAAGGAGTGTTACAGTCAGGACGAACATTGTCGCCTGCTGTTGGATCATTTTGGTGAACGAAAGGTTACCCTTCCGTCGCACCTCAAAGCGAAGTTAAATCGCTTTAGTTACAGTGATTGCCTGTTATGGCATCAACTGTCACCCTGTGATCCCTTGAGAATCTATGTCCTTCATGACACAGATCTCAAGCTGATGATACTTCACGAGTGCCATGATGCGCCATCTAGTGGGCATCTGGGCCGTGAAAAAACATTCTTACGAGTGTCAGAGGAATTTTGGTGGCCCCACCTATATCGGTGGGTGGCCAACTATATTCGCTCTTGCGAAGAGTGTCAGCGCATAAAGCCTGCACCTTCTAGCAGTGCGCCACTGAAGCCACTGACGATTCCTACTGAATTTTGGAAGTCGGTCAGTTTGGACTTTATGTTTATCTTACCGCCTGACCATAAAGAAAGGACGGGGATCGTCGTATTTGTTGACAGACTGAGCAAGATGGTGCTTTTGGAACCATGTAGCACCAAGATCTCAGGAAAAGAGGCTGCCCTCTTGTTTCTGGATCATGTGTACCGATTACACGGGATTCCTGTATCCATAGTATTGGATCGGTATCCGCGTTTTACGTCAGGTTTTTGGCGTCATGTGTTTGAGTTGCTGGAAAGCAAGCTCCACATGTCCACCGCTGATCATCCCCAGACCAATGGCCAAACAGAACGGGCCAATCGAGTTGTGGCGGACGTGTTGCGTACAGTAGCGACTCCCAAAGAATGGAGCAAGCAATTTCCATTCGTGGAGCTCAATATTCAATACAGTTTTCACGCCAGTACGGGTGAAACACCGTTTTACATTAACGGACTGCGTCATCCTCGAACGCCAGTCTCGTTTGTACGCAGCCCGAGTCTTGGTGGGGGAGGGCCCCTCATGCGAATGCCAAAAAGAGCCAAGGTTGCCCTAGTGACACTGCTAGTTTAGCAGTGGTAACGGCACCTATAGGTGTCACAGAGGAGGCACGGCAAGAAATGCCTGTGCTCCTTGACGATGACACTATCGTGTTATCAACAGCGTCGACCCATGAACGACCACTTGGAGGCGTCATAGGCGAGCTGGATGCTAAAAGCGTGAGCGAAGCTCAGCGCTTTGTGGATGAGCGATTAGCCATCGCACGTAAAGTCCGTGACGCGATGGCAAGCGCACAGGACAAGCAAAAACAATATGCAGACCAGCATGGTCGCAAAAACAATGAACACTTTAGTGTGGGGGACAAAGTGATTTTAAGTACTGCTACCCCTACCTAAACATGCAATTTCTGTACTACCTGGTGGTACTACTAAGCTATTGCCCCGATTCGTTGGGACCTTTACAGTGGTTAGAGAAGTTGGAGACATAAACGATAGGCTCACTCTCCCACCGTATATGGAGACGTACCCCGTATTTTACGTGGGTCGTCTGAAACGGTATGTGGAACCACGAAAGATTTCATATCCGCATCAGTCTAACGAGACTGATGGTGACGTCGACTGTGAGTCGAGCGTCGTTGCCGATCAGTCGAAAAGGAAGCCGAAAGACTTCCCATTTACGAGACAGATGATAGAAGACTCGGCGATCGAGGAGGACTCCGCGCTTGACGTGGGTCTCTCATCACCAGTCGCTTTAAAATGTCCAAACGGGTCTTCACGATCCCTCGTATTCACAGAGCGTAGATCCGAAGTCATTCGCGATACTTGACTCGAAATATCCGTCACCTCTTTCTTCAGCACAGCGATCTCCGCCTGCGACTGAACAGCAACAGGATAGACAGCTGTGAATAGTTGGGCGTAATCGCCGCTCCTATCGGGCGCCACCTGTGTTGGTGGATGCGGGTGGGGAAAACACGATTCCTTATTTGGAAGGTTGTTGGACCATCGCCATGTGAAGCAAAAGCTTCAGTTCCTTGTCCAATGGAAAGGATACCCGAAGAGCTTTGACTCTTGGGAACCGGTTGACGCGTTGCGTGTTGACGTGCCTGGCTTGGTGGCTGCTTACGAGCAGAAGCACCAGTTGCATTCGCTCTGATAGGTCCTGACGGACAAACAGAGGCAGCGTAGTGAGAAGGAGCTGAGGGTATGTTATCACCCAATATCTCCCTCGCACGCGTCATAGAGAAGCTGATTCGCTGCTACCGCCGTTTCACTGTATCTACATGCGGTGTAACACGACGCAGGAGCTATGATTCGTATTCGCCGGTTATTTCGCTAGAACGCAACACGACGGGGATAGGGAAAGCACGACCTCGTGCTTTGCCCTGCCTTTCCACGATGGAAAGACGCTAAAAGTTTATTAGCGTCAATAGAGGCACGCTTTAGAAGCTTCGCAATATTTACACTCCAGCGTGACCACTCGGATGGCGGTGGCATTAGTGGCAAATCATCACTCACGTAGCCGCCCTCGCGACGGAATACTAGTGAGACCAACTGTGAGGTCGAAGGGGCTTTTTGCTCACCCTTGCCTGAGTCTGACTTTCCATTATAGATTGTCAAGACGTCAGACGTAGGGTTGACACACGCGGTCGATTTAGAATCGCCGACCTGCTGTTGAGCCGTTGCTTATTCTTTCGAAGCAGCGTGCTCAGTTGTGGTCGCTGCGCTCGTTGGCGCAGACGACGAGGCATGAACCTCGCTGTCAGGAAGCATGGAAGCTTCCTAAAAGGCTGGGTGCCTTAAATGATGGGGACAAATGTACCATCAGAGCACTGTGCTCATCACCACTTTGGGGTGATAGCAATGGCGTGTTCTTGTTGTAGTCAACAATGAGAGAAAGTTCATCATCCGCACAATAGTGGGATGGGTTAGTGTCCTCTGCTGACAAGCGGACATTAGATTCGGCATTTTCACAGAGACACTTAGCGACTGCTTCAAGTTATTGCGGCTCGTAAGCTTTTTGTTGGTCTGAATGAAAGCATTTGCAGGCGACCCATCAGCCTTTTCACGTTTCGGTGGCATCTTCTTGCTTTCGATAATTTACAAAATGTAACAATCGTCTTAAAAAGAGGGATGGCGTAACGGGCTAAAAGTTACACGGTTCGTTAAGTATCCAATACTTAACGAGCAGGCCTAAATGGGTACGAGGTACCTTAGGCCTGCCACTTGGGTGTGGCACATGAATGTGACCCACCCTCGTAAATGTGATATCCATGGATGGATTCACATTCAACGAGGATGACGCCCAGGTGGGACTAGGCGTCATGGTAACGCTTCAGACGGACGTCATCGGCAAACTTAAATTTATTTAAGCTCGCACGTAGGGATACGCCTCTAAAGAAACGCGTATCCGATCTTTACATTTAAACCAATCAGTAGTTAGATTTTTATTTGATTATTCCGATTAAATAGAAGTCAGTCATGAAGTTGCTACATCACACTCACTGCGCACGAGAAGCAAAATAAGCTTCTGCGTGTCGTTAGTGGAGCTCTTGTCATAGAAGTTCGTTGCGCGGGTCGCTTAAAGCGACCGGTAGCAGTTGGTACTGCGCTTTAGCGCCAAACAACACCCCCACCACCGCACGCGGAGGTAAGACGGTATAACCGCTTCCTCACGCTGCTCGAAGGTGTGTGCTTGCGTAGTACGCTGCAGCTTTTTACGAAGCGCCCGTCCACAGTGCGTCGACTTTATCAAGAAGGCCTGTTTCGTATGAAAGGACTGGATCGTGGTATGATACGAAGGATAAGTACCATGGAGGAAAACATGAGTGAAAGAAGCAGCAAGAAAAAAAGAAATAGGTGCTGAAGATATTCCGAAAGCATACTTTGTGGTGGGAGGTTCTAAGCTGCGATGGTTACAGCTGATGACATAAAGGAAGGTGATGACTGTAAGGCAGTTATGGTGAAGTGTTCAAGGTTGTCAAGATAACAAAATGTGATATCTATGTCGCTGTCACGGAAAACCGAAGTGAGCCAAGAGTCAATGACATTGCTGCCTTTATAACTTAAGTCATCGAATTGCATCTCCATGATGGCAGAAACGGTAGATGAGCTCAGCAGGCGAATCCGCTACGTCCTGCTGTTCCAAGACATATGGTACTACTACAACTTAGCGACGAGTGCAGCGCTGCTAGTCCGTGCGTTAAGAAGAAACTTGGCGAGTAGGCGCTGTTTAAGTTTGTCAATGTCTTCTAAGACCTTAGCACAGAAGTTTGAGCATGCATTGCTGCATTATGGACCTTGCGAATTAGTTACAATCACCCGTATCCTTTGCGGATATGGAAGGCTCCCGGCTCTACGCATCATCGAGTACGCTTGCAACCTGTACTTAATTTGAGCGGCTTTATCGTCATGTGAATACAGCATTATTGAGCGCAACGGGGCGACACCTCGATATATGATTGTATTGTTTCTACGAAGTTGAAGCATTACGGACGCAAGTAAAGCAAACAAGATTAAAAGAAGACTCGCCGAGGCAATTGATATTCGCTTATATTGGTCATGAACAGAATAAAAATGCGTTGAGTTTCTCAATCTGTTCAAACTGTTGAGCATGTTGCTTTTGAAGGTAATAGTGGCGAAGAAATCTACGATGGAGGCTTACAGAATAGAGACCTGTAATTGGGTGCTGTGATTTGATGCATGTGGCGTTATTTTTTAAAGGCAAGATCTTGCATTTCAAAAAGAGTTAAGGCTGTGAGTGTTTATACACGTCCACTACAAGAATATTTAACTATCTCAATGGGCCGTACAGTATTCAGTGTCCAGAATGTTACGGTAATGGTTACCTCAAAGCCATGATAGGATCGATTTGAAAACATTGTCCAATAGATGATCAAGCAACATTCCTAAAACGCTGTATCAAAAGAGCTTGTTTTTAGCCAATGAGCGTGGAGAACCTGTTGATATATTAATCAAGTGACAAAAGCTCGTAACGGCCGATGATTGAAGCTCCCGCCGGTCCGATGACCGCTTCCTCAATGACCGCGGCCTCAATCGCCGCCCATACAAAGAGCGACTTATCTTCATTAGACTCTGGAATAGCTGCCGACCAAGTTTCACACTGGGAAGATGTGCAGAAGACGGACGAGACGCTGCCGGACGTTCAAAACGCCGCGGTGATCCAGCCACATAAGGAAGAGGAGACAGTGTCACTAGTGACAAGTGGCACTAGCCTGATATTAGATGGTGGAAGTAGCGATTCGGTTGCATTAATCACAGACGGTGGAACGATTCACAGGGACAAGACCGGGACAAGCTTAAGGGCTGTGGTCCACACTGTGATAGCTGACCCAACCAATGAGGAGGCATCTCCATTAAGTCATGCAGCTAATGTGACTGCATTAGATTTAGGATTTAGTGCTCCAATAAAGAAGGAGTCTTTCCAACAGAAGGAGGTTGCACAAGTGGCGCTGATTACAAGACCATCGAGAGCTGCTGCAGTTGCTGCTACAGTTGGAATGGCTCGTGAAGCCAAGCAGGAAATTAATTCATTGGAATTGCTCATTGAATCGGCCTTTGAACTGGAAAATAGGGATGCAGACATGGAGATATATCATGTTACAAAGAAGAGGACAATAGATGGACACGGTCGAGCACTGAAGAGGTCAGAAGAGGCTGTTACAAAGGTGTTGCAGAATACATTGAGGACTGAAAGTGCAGAGCAGAATTTGACGTATGGTAAGAAGCAGCGTCAGGCTGCAACGTATAAAGCTGGTTTCGTCGAACCTTCGCCGATTATTACAGACATCCCGCCACTTCCGTTTACGAGCACAAGTCCGGTGCTGCGTATCAAAGGAAAGAACAAGCTGAAGAGCAAGCGGTATGTTAAAACTAAGACTGAGTCGTTGCACTCGCTGAAAGAGATGAATGGCTGTGACGATCGACACTGCGAGTACTGCAAGAAAGCTGCAAATATTTGTGTGCTGATGCATTGTCATGCGTGTCGTCGCGTGTATCATGCGCAGTGCTTCCTGCATGCATTTAAACCCTATGTAGATGAAAGTATGCCGATTTTTGGCCAGATAGAGCACTTGCAGCTTAAAGCATCGGAGCATCGCGGCAGTATTTTCCGCTGTGCATCATGTAAGGCTGCGTTTTTGGATTTCTATGAGAGTGGTGGGTACCTATGGGATTGCGATTGTCCCACCTGCTCGCAGCCAGAGAAAACGGTTTTCTATCGCCAGAAAAAGTTGGTGCAGATGATGAACGGAATGGAGCTAGAAAAGCAACGCAAAAAGGAGCAAAAAAGTCAAAGGAAAAATGGGTCCTTTAATGCTAGTTGGAAGCCACATGTGTCGACATCAAGCTGGTCGAACTCGATATCACGAAGTCGACGCACACGAGTGAGTGATGTAATTGACCGTTAAATTGATACAATGTTGCAATGGAACTCACGCTGACAACGGGGAAAGAGATTCTGGCAAACGATGGCTTTGTTGATGAAGAAAACCGTCGGTACGTTGGCACTGGTACAGTCGCTACCATTGCTGTCCTTCTTTTTGTGAAGAGACTCAATACTAATGTAGTGCATCGATTATTTTCTATTCAGATTTGGCTTCCACCGTTCTTATTTCGCCTCTATTCCACACCTGCACATGCATTGCTTGGGTCTACTTTTTCTCCGAGCATGGGGCCACTTGCGATACACTGAATCTTTCTTGTCATCGTACATTTGCGCTGAGAGCGCTCTTGCTGCGCTTCGCACAAAGCAAGATACACTAGATACAATTGACGACTGACTTGGACCGACAAACAGAACAAAGTAAATAACCAACGATCAAAACGAAAGTTCGCCTTCTTCGTGTCTGTTGCAAGTGTTCGTCTACTCGTACATGCCAGACTCGATATACTTAAACTGTTGGCTTTGTGTACTCGGTGCTTTAGACTTGACCACGTACTTGTTCACTCGAATAGCTTTAAGCAGTCCGTCCGACATGTCATTAAACGTCTCCTCCAAACTCTCTACAGCGTCATTATGAGCCACCACCAGCTTCTGCAATGCTTCCGTGTTCTTTTCTCGAGGTTTATCAATCATGAGCTCTCGTTCTTCCTCCTCCATCTCGGGATCTTCTCGAGTCCGTAGCAAAAGTGGAATATCTGCAGGGTTCGGCGTCGACATTCTTGGAACACAAGCAAAATGCTGCACTAGATCAGGTATTTCCTCGTTCATATTCTCCAATTGCTTGGAAATGACCATATATTGGCTCAAGAGTTCGGGCCTAGAGTACCGTCATATATAAAAGTCAAGTTTCAAGTTAAAGGCATTACTCATCATTTCCATCACATTTGATACCATGTACTGGCTGGATTCCATGCCAAATTATGTTCTAGACGAGATATTGTGTGACGCAAATGGTCGGCGCGTGCCCGGATACTGCTTAGTGCACGCTCCACATCACCTCCTCCACCTCCAGACTGCATGATCTCTATCACCCCTCGAAACTGAAAAGGTTTTTGTTTTTTTGACAAAAAGAATAAAAAGTCCCATCACGAAAGCTGAAAAACCCATGTTTTTTCTTACGATATAAATTACTGTCCGAAAACTAAAATTTAAACTAAAAATAAGTAAAAGTCTTAGGGAAAGTTAAGTTTGCTAACTTGAAATTTGCGTTGATGGTGGATGACGGGCGATCACTCAAGCGACAGAAGCTCACTCCAGTAGAAAATATCTCTCGGACTACCACAGCTCCAAGGCATCCTCGCGTTGACAAACTCGGCTTCTATTTGTCGCAATTAAAAGGCACTCCAGAGACTCACAACTGTAAGTACTGAATCATGTTATCTTCAAGTACTGAATCATGTTATTTTCAAGTACTGAATTACGTTATTATCTTTTTAATAGTGCATGCCAAGAGCCTAAAGAATGACCTTTTAATGGGAGACTTTTCTCGTTGTTTATTAACTAATTACATGTTTGATCTCCAGTGGCTCTTTACCGAGTGTCCACGACTAAGACAAGTGCCGGTGCTATTGGTGCATGGAGAGAGGGATCGACAGAGGTAAGTTTTTATGGACTGTAAAAGCTCTACATTTTGTGCCAGTTGTGAATTTTGTGCTGCAACTTTTTTCCAATTATTACAGAATGATGAAGGAATGTCACGAGTATACGAATGTCACACCCGTGGCTCCACCTTTGCCGATTCCTTATGGAACGCATCATACCAAAATGTTGGTAGCATTGTACGCAGAAAAGGTTCGGGTAGCGATTTTTACTGCCAATTTTTTGTCAAATGACTGGAACACAAAGACACAGGGAGTGTGGTACCAGGACTTTGGTCTTAAGGTTCTTACTGACAGTGAAGATGAAGAGAAGAAAGAAGAATCTGTTAGAAGGAGCGCCACTCTTGCTGATTTTGAGACTGATTTGGTCGAATATTTGTCGTCACTTGGAGACCAAGTCAAGAGGTTTTGTAGAGAGTTGAAATATTACGACTTTTCGACGGCGCGCGTCCTATTGGTGCCGTCGGTTCCAGGAGTCCATAAAGGAAAAGGTAGTGGAATGTGGTTGGAACTCCACTGTGCTTATTAAGCTTACAGTATGGGTGTTGGCGTCTATTGGACAGATATGGAGAAATACGGACATCTTCGTGTGCGCAAGTACGATATCTATCGTCTTCTTTTGTAGAATATTGGCCCATGTCTCACTCCTTCTTCAATAGACTTTTGAAAATGTACAAAGTTCCTCGGACAGACAACCCATTGATTTGCCAGGTACGTGTAGGAGCAGATTTTTTCAGATGCACTTGTCAATGCAACAATACTCACGCTCGCGCCCTTGCTTAGTTTTCTAGCTTGGGTTCGCTTGACGAGAAATGGGTGTTCGGGGAGTTCGCGGAGAGCTTTTTACCAGGAAAAAAGGATGTGTCCTCAACCTTTATGCCTGTTGAAGCACTTCATATCATTTGGCCCTCGGTCAAAGATGTCGTATGTTCACATTGAGATGAGTTTTCAAATCGATACTAACTCCGCTTTGTTTCTTGGCACTTGTAGCAAAACTCACTTGAGGGATGGAACTCAGGACGATCAATACCGTGCCCGCTCAAGAACATGAAACCTTTCTTGCACAAATACCTCCGAAAATGGTCACCTCCGCCAGCTCTTCATCGGCAAAATGCAATGCCGCATATTAAGTCGTACGCTCGCTTTAACCCGAGTGAGGAAGGAGCTGGTGAGCTGGACTGGGCTATCGTGACCAGCTCCAACTTGAGTAAAGCTGCGTGGGGCACGTTTCAGAAGAATAAGACGCAATTCATGATTCGGTCGTATGAGCTCGGCGTAATGTTCCTGCCACCGGTATTAGGGCGTGAAAAGGATGGAACTCTACCGCGTCTTGTGACAATTGGAAGTAGAGCTGCTGATCATTTCAGTGTTGCAGTACCTGGAAACCTTATAGTGGAGTCACTGCCACTGCCGTATAACTTTCCGTTGACTACCTATGATCCTAGGAAGGACGAGCCCTGGGTCTGGGATCTTGTGCGAGAGAGCCCAGATATCTTCGGGAATGTTTACACCCGCACTAGAAATACCGAAGATGAACGCTGAGCCCATTTTGCGTTGTTTATCCCATGGTGGTAGTGACTATTTGGGGGATGTCTGCGAAAACGAGTGCACCGGTAGCGGCTTTGGCGATGAAACGGATATAGTACGATCTAAGATACAAAGAACATGGATCAACATCTGCTCCCAAGTTACTCCCCCCTTCCGAAAAAAGCTTGTGCTTGTTCCTGGAATGGGACGCAGCGTAACGAGATAACAGAGCTCAAGATCTTATGGATATATTCACAACAACTGAATTGTCACTTTCAAGAATGTTCAAGGGAGCGTCAATCATAGTTTTCAGACTACATGTCGAGTCGGCAACTTGCATTAACACCTCTGAGAATACGACGAAATCTTCCTGTGTCTTCCAAACGAGGCTATCCACCACGGATTTGGCGGTTGTGTCTGTGTCAACATGTCGGAGAGCTTTACAACGTCTGCCAAGTCGATGACCTGGATTGTATTGGTTGTTTCGTTCAGTGTACGCTTACTCGAATCATTGGCAAGCGCTGGCAGGTTGATAGACGCATCAGCGATGCTAACTTGTTCCGACGTAATTGCTGGGAAATCCATTGCGGCGTGAGGTGTTGTTGGTATTTCGACTGGTCGCAGGAACTGGTTTGCAGCGTTCATCGCGTGCAGAGCATGAAGTATTTTTGCTTTTGCCATCCTGAGCTCTGCTTCGTCGTGGCCAGCGAGAGACCCAAATACGGAACGAGTCCAGTTCAGCAGCTTTACGGACCATTTCTTGACCAGATCTGTGTTTGCGGCGAAGAATACGACATGGTAGTTTTCGTTAATCACGTTTGGAGACGATGATGTGGTCGTGGGGGGCATATACAACGCAGCCGAATCGGCTTGCTCGATCTCACTGTCGTCTTCGTCTTCGCTGGTGTCTGAGCTCAATGTGTTTACGGCACATTGTTGTGGTAGGCGCAATCTCCCTACTCTTGCTTTTATCTCGAAAATGTTGAGTGAGCACATGGTGTTGACTTTGATGCGATTGCTGGTCAACCGGAACGATTCAACCGGTTCATTGATATCATTTGGTGTCGCGTAGCCGCGCAAATAGCCTTCTTCGAGCACATAGTAGAGCACACGCGAATGAACAGGTTGGTGAGTCTTGGACTTTTGTTCCCAGGCAGAACATGTGTCTGGGAAGCAAGCTTCCATCGGTACGCGAATCATGTAGCCTTCCATTTGAAGTTGTTACACTGAAACTACAAGCTATGGAAGTTCGACTTTAATACGTCACGGCGAATGCTACGACGACAGGAACGTCACAATTTTTTTGAGCAAGTTGGATAATGAACATGTACCATCACCACATCTTCAAAACCAGTTCAACGGACAGAACCTTGCTATGAACGTGTGTATGTCTCGTCTTCCGTTAGCTAAAACGTCATGTAGTCTACAGGCTATGACGGCAAAGAACGTAAGAACTGGACTGATTGAAACAACATGACGTTGTTTTCAACAAGTTTGCAACATGACACACTCGAATTTCTCGAGCATGCGTTACGATATGGAAACTCCAGTTTACAACTGAAGTGTTCATGGAATTTTGGTTCAACCGGTACATGGTCTTGAGTCACGGGAAAAGACCAGATAAGCGTTCATTGAGAATCCTAAAACGTATCATACGGTCTATTCCATAACGTACAGGGTTTTCAACTGCTTTCGGACAAAGTATTCAAGTGAAACGTGCGACCTTTGTGTGAAAGGTGCTCGGAAAAAGGTTAAGATTGACTTTTCCAACTATAGCTGAGCTCGCTCAAAATGAACACGCTTGAGCTCGTCGGCTAGAGCGAGGAAAGTCAACTGTTAAGACAAATGTCGCACATGTGATAGCTTCACGGCCATACGATTTCGAAGGTACGTGAAGACGTCAAACCACTTATGAGATTGCTAGATTGTACATGAGACAAAACATGTAGGAAACTTGGTATGTGAGGCATACATATGAGCGACTTAGTACCGAGCAAGTAGCGCTCATGGCCAAAGAAGACCATGTGTAAGTAAAATGCATGAAGAAGCTATAAATTTATACAAGGAATACGTCTGAGACGCGACCCTGACTTGATTCCATTATGGGATACGTTTTACAGAAGTAAATAGAGCCAAGTACCGGTCATTTTTTGTGGTGGAAATTCGTCTAAAAAAAGAACAATCGAGCAAAAAGACCGATGTTCATGCAAACAGCTCGACGAAGCGCTCACTTTGGCATCATTTATAGCTTTCATACCACTGTATGTTGTTTTGTGTTTCATATTGACATTGGCTAAAATGCTTCCTTATCCATCAAATGACTGACCTTGTGATTGATTTGGACATTGTGGTGGTATGATGCAGAAAAGCTTCGGTTTGGTTGGCAGTCCCTACCAAACAATGGTGAAGCCTATACGAGCTTTACCTGTTACTACAAAGTCTCTATGGTCATGTCTTGGTCGTCAGATGACCCGAACGACCAAGCAGCCGCTGGTTTGTTTTACAAAAGCTCGGGTTCATTCCACAAAAGCTCGGGTTCGTGTGTAGCAATAGTAATTGATGATTGCAATGTTGTTGATGTTGTTGTAGAAGTGTGATTAGTAGTTTATTGCATTTTGTCAATACTCACGTGATATTGTACAGAGGTTTACGGCTTCGACTGCTACAATTGAGAACGTGGCAGCCAACCGCCCGATTGCGTACTGGATCTTTGGCACAGCGGCTTTGGTTGGCAGCACAATTGCCGTTGGCGGTGCTACTCGTCTTACTAGATCTGGGTTGTCCATGGTAGAATGGAAACCACAGGGTAGTCTGCCACCTACCACTCGAGACGAGTGGGAAGAACAGTTTGAGATTTACAAGCAGTTTCCAGAGTACAAACAACGTCAGAACATGGTACGGCATTGTGGCACATGGTCATCGATTGGTGCGACGTTCTTTGATGAGGTTGCGAACTGATTATGATTTGGAACTTGTTGTGTAGACGATGGAGGAATTTAAGAGGATTTTCTGGTGGGAGTACGGCCATCGGATGCTCGGCCGTACAATCGGTCTTGTTTACACGGTCCCACTAGTTTACTTTATGCTCCGCAAGAAATTACCGAGGGAGCTTTACAAGCGCTTCGGCATCCTATTCGCTCTAGGTGCAACGCAAGGAGGTGTAGGTTGGTGGATGGTGCGCAGTGGGCTGGGGGAGCACGGGAAGGAGCAGCTGGAGAAGCGCAACGAAGTGCGTGTTAGTCCCTACCGTCTCGCCACGCACGTACGTATTTGCTTTTGTTCCAGTGCAAACTGTTATGGCAGGTCATTAACGGGTATTGATATTTTTACTATCGATAGCTTGCATTTGCATTCACGACGTTGGGAGTTCTTCTGTGGACAGGCTTCACCCTGGCCGCACCTCCGTCTCGCGCAGCACTGACGCGTGAGATGATCTCGCCCGATGTGTTAAAGCAGACGACCCGTATCCGCAAGATCCTTGGCCACGTCTCGACTGTTCTCGGCTTCACGATTGTCTCTGGTGCGTTTGTTGCTGGTACTGACGCCGGTATGGCATACAACACTTTCCCCAAGATGGACGGTCAGTGGATCCCCGACGATCTGTTTGTGATCGAGCCCAAGTACAAGAACTTTTTTGAGAACGTGCCTCTCGTGCAGCTGGACCACCGTATTCTCGCTTTGAGCACGCTCACTGGTTTCGGTGCTGTGTATGCAATGGCTCGCCGTCCACACATATGGAAACAGCTACCACAGCAATCACGTAATGCACTGAACATGGCATTGACTGCTGTTGGTGGTCAAGTATTGCTGGGCATCACGACACTGATCAATTGCGTGCCAATTCCACTTGCAATTTCGCACCAATGTGGTGCCATTGTGGTCTTGACAGCTACGCTCTGGTCACAGCAGACGCTCAACTTTGCCAGACCACTCAAAAAAGCTGCTATAGCTACCATCAAGGCCACCCCAAACAGACGTTGCACGTGAACCAATCATCGGCAACCATCACGTCCATCGAAATGTTGTTCTATTTTTTGATTACACACTCTCGAAAAGCGAGTGAGTCATCAAGTTTACATGAATATACACAACTTTGACACCAAATCATAATACCACAAAACAAAAAATAAATGACAGGGACACAACGTTTCGGACACAGCTTCAAAAAAGAGGTTCAAAATAAGACGGCATCTTGTGACTTTGAAGCACTTTGGATGGACGATTCCGGTAAGCTCTTTCTGTTTCTTGATCCTTATTCATCTCTCTATCCACTTAGCTGAAGTTGTAGCCCTTTATCTCTTCTTCTTGTGCCAGCAACAGCACACGATCGTCGTGGCTTGTGGTCCATGGTGAAAGAAGGTTACGAAGGTCTTGTGAATACAGTGATCCGTCCTTTAAGGTCCCAATACGCACCGTCGGAGCTCGGTCCAAAGCGTGCACAATTTGGAAATGTTTCAGTGCAACGTGTAGATCTAAAGCTCAAGAACCCGGCGGGTTTCACGCTCGAATGCAGTTGGTGGAAGTTACGGAAGCCTAAAAAAGGACAAGTACAGGAACAGGACAAGCGACCGTGCATTGTGGTGCTCCATGGGAACAGTTCCTGCCGGCTTGGAGCTCTAGAGATTGTCATGTATGCATTACCAGCAGGTTTTACGGTGTTTGCACTGGATTTCTCGGGCTCTGGACTGTCGGAAGGCAAGTACGTGTCGCTCGGGTTCCATGAGCAAACGGACATTGCTATGGCAGTACAGTATATACAAAATACTGGAGAAGCTTCCAAGTTGTGTCTTTGGGGACGCAGTATGGGAGCAGTTGCGGCATTATTGTATGCAGAATCAAATCCGTCGGTGAGTGCCATGGTGCTGGACTCGCCGTTTTCAAGCTTACCGAAACTAGCGACTGAATTGGTGGAAGATGGAAAGCTTGGCGTACCTAAGATTGCTGTGAAGCTGGTTATGAAACTCATTCAACGGGATGTCAAGAAGAGAGCCAAGTTTGATATGTTCAAGTTAAAGCCCATTGTTAAAATTCACAAATGTGCGGTGCCCGCCTTTTTTGTCGTGGGATTGCAAGATGAACTGGTGGGGCCACATCATGTTGAGGCGTTGTATAAACTTCACAATGGTCCCAATCAACTGTTTAAGTTCCCTGGAGGTCACAACAGTCCGCGGCCGTTCAACTTCTTTATCCAAGCATTGCAGTTCCTGAGAAATATGGTTGGGCTGATGCCGCTGCCAGACGATCTGTCGACTTTTGATTTGTCACCAACGCAGCAGCAGCAAGTACAATCGAGGGAACCGGATAAAAAGACACCTCCAAATCGCAAGAAACCATCACGAGTGTACAAGAATCCACTGGAGTCAGGCGTTTCAATTGAGGCTGTGCACAAGATGTCGGTGAAGGAGCTGAAGCAGTGTATTGATCGTGCTGGATTCAGCGATGTTACATGTATTGAGAAGAAGGACATGGTGGATCTCGTTCTCAAGCTTTATGCTCGCTATAGACGATTTAGCAAGCAAGCAACCGATGACAGGCAGCAGTGCCCCGCAGTACCAGCATGTGAAGAAGAAGTGAAGGAAACTACGTCAGATAGTAAAGCGCGTGCAGAAGCATCTATCGTGTCATCACCATTGACCACTTCTGACGCAAGTGGGGCTACAAAAGCAGAAATGAGCTCACCTACACCTAAAGGCCGACGCCGTAGCGAAGGTAGTAGGTTTGATGCAGGTGCAGAAGCAGTAGATTCAGCGATTCTGGTTTCTTCGATGAAGAGTACTGCGTCAAGTATTCTTTCTGATGCAGAATTGGCTCGACGATTAAGTATTGACCATTCTAGTGGCGGAGAGGATGATTTAGCCACCGACAAGGTTGCGAAGTAATATGTCATAAGCCGTCGCTACATCTTAAGTCGCACGCACCCGACCAGCTTATCGACTGCCTTTGGTCAAGGCCAAAGAACGATTATGCCATGTAATACGAAAGAATGGGCTATGTGGCACCTGACGATGTAATCGATGGATTGTGAAGCCTCGCCCGGATGACTTAAACAGTGACTACACGATCGTCGAACAAGTGCTTGATGCAGGTGTTGAATGTGCAGCGGAAGTCGATTAACTTTACGCGGACATTTGCCTTGCAAGCAAAGAAAACGAAAAATGTCATGCCCTGGTCGCCAAACGAATGACTAGCGTGAAGACATTATCATGGGCCTAAACCATTACACGTTTGTAAAAGTCTACTTTGAAGAATTCTTGAGTGATGCGGATGTTCTTGTCTTCAGAACTATCGCTGACTTTGGGGCACAAGTACACAAAGAAATGCTTGCTTTCTTATAGGCTACAAGTTTGGTAGTTTTCAAGTTTGCTTCATGCGGCTAAAAGTCGTCTTCGGCCTAGATCTATGCAGCAGACTTGCAGACTTGCCCGTTGTCGATGGTACGAGCTTCAGTGCTAAAAGGTAGAAGAGTGCAAGATGTACAACAAATGCGTAGTCATCGAAAAGCATTCGAGATGTACGTGTACGAGACATCGGCACAGCCGGTAGGTGCACTCTAAAACGTTGACGGTACGCATTCACTATCAAGTTTTCACTTCGCTGTCGGTCGGCATGATCGCGTTTTGATGTGACGCTTGAGCAGGTGACATTCACAAAATGTAATGGAATCAAGTCATGCAAGTGACCGATGAACATCACCACTTTAGTTTCATGCTTCAAATTGCTACGATCTCAGCGTTAGGCGCGAGTTGCAGGAGCAGAAATAAGCGTTGTAGACCGTGAAAAACGACGTGGTACGATAAGTTTGCTACGCGTTTACGATGCATGATTAAGTAGTGCAGAGCAGAAGCTAAAGACAAAATAGAATGCATCGCTCGTGCGACGTTTTGCTCAACACCCGAGTTCTGCTGTTAATTCATCCTCAGTGATACAATGAATGTAATTCGAGATCCAACGCTTTGCTACCTACGACAAACCAAAAAAAGTGTTTAAAGCTTTTTCATAATCTACATACAGATCACAGCGTAGCTTGAAAACAAGCAGACATCTTCATTGTTTTGCAAAGACCAAGAAGAGACCCGCACCTTCCATTTCATTAAATATCGGGCCGTATTGTTTCGCAACCAAGCACTTCTTGATGTAAAACCCTGCATACCCTCCAACAAGTGACCTCCAGTTACATCACCACCTCATGCAATACAGAGTTTCTCCTTTCCAAGCTCATAGCACGAAATCATAATGGCGCAGGATGGTGCTACCCGCGCAAGACGTGCACCAAGTCCCGTAAACGCTCCACTTAAACCCTTGCTAGCCACCACCTGTCGAAACACCTGTACCCCGGACGCCTGTGATTCTTGTGTCGTCATGGACACTTGCTGTAGCGTCTTGACCACATCAAATGGAGTCGTTACCGTTGCAGCAATAGCTCCAGATACTGCACCGCATACAAATGCTCTCTGCGTCCTTGTAAGTTCATACTCCGTTGTATTTAATCTTCTCTGAAGATTCTCATAGGATGTCCAATAAATGGCTGAAAATGGTACATCACGTGCCAATGTAGCTCCCAATCCATTCAACAATGACACATAACCTCCACGCTTCACTGCTTGTTGAAACGTCATCAACATACTTGTTCCTGCATTCTCACTCTGCATCCTCGTCCTAATTAGTTCAATAGGTGATGTCGTCGAAGCTGCAACAATTCTAGCTGTCGTACCTGCCATTAATGGCACAAAACCTTCTACTTGTGGCAATTTTTGATATCCCTCATGTAATAATAAATCATACGACATATAATACAATACAGTAGATGGAACTGCAATGGCCATAGCAGGAGATAAACCTGCAAATAGTCCTTTAAGTCCTTCCGTTTGAAATATATGACGTAATGTATGAAATGTGCCGTGAAGCAAAGGAGGTGTTACGGTCCGAGAGCACGACATCCGCATGGCTAATGGAGCATTTCCTCCACGTCGTAAAGTCTGAAACTGGGAATCCAATGGACGAGTGATGCAACGATTGCAAACGCAGCGACTACGACAGCGACAATGTTCAATGACAGTTGCAACCGACGTACCGACACTTGAGTGTGTCACACGTAAATCAGCGAGCGTCGTGGATGGACATGGAAACGTCTGGATCTGGGACTGAATACGTACTTTAACTACGTCCAATGGCGTGACAAAAAGCGACGTGAGAAGCGCACCAAAGGACGCTGCAGCAGCTTTCTTGACCGTGTCTTGGACGTTAATCTCCATCGAGCAAATTAGCAAATGACTGGAAGTTCTAAACGGTAAAAAAACCGGTATTGCATCTACCACCAGGCAGGCCACGCGCCCTGGAGCCAATCGGATGAATGGAAGTTTCTCGAGTGGTAGCTCCGTCGCATGGTCATTATATAGAGGGGTTGCAATCATTTCAAGCCGTAGTGGAATGATTGCGATCAGTTAAAAGTGCCCGCTTCAGTTGCCTGCCGTATTGCAGGTCACTCATTATAGCTAAGGACTTTATAGAAAAATTCTAATTTGACTCGCTAAGTGACCGTGTCTGTAAGGATCTTCTGGTCAGATGTTTCGTCCAGCGAGTTTAGTCTTTTGTTTCCATAGCGGTGATTCTGCAATGTCAGAGATTGTTAACTGCAAGTAAGACCTTTGAGCGTCCCTACATGTCATTGCAAACTATCATCTCTACCTAAAACATAATGCACAACCTTACACTGCATCTTTTGAAAGCAGTATTGTCGTACAGAGCCCATGCGACCAAAAGTAATCTTCCTCAAAGATCGAGAGGATATACCGGCAACAAAACTTTAGGTCAACGTTGGTCTAATAATGCTTAATATGCTGAGTGGTTACGGGAAGCCTCCCCTGGTGATCAAAATACTATATCACACACAGGGAATTGTATAACTTGCTACAACTGCAAGCCAGCACGTATTTGTCATTCTTGAATTGCAGTTTGTAGACTCAGCCCTGCCCACCAATACCCATGATGACAAGACTTCTCGGAGTGTTGTACGTTTACGTGGTTTTCGCTTTCAGCACACGACGAAACGTACCGAAAGCGGCTCAAGTTCATCCGAGGCCTCACATTCACCCTAATGTCTATCGCAGGCTTCAAGAAAAGCCTTCAATCAATTTAATAGTGACAATGCGCGATGGAACTGCCTCAGCACTGCAAGAAGCTGATGTTTTCTTGGCTTCACAGTCCAATTCGGTACCACGAGATATTCGAATAGCTCAAGTCGTAGACTCTCTCCGAAATGTTGCCGCGAAAGCGCAACAGCCGCTGAAGGCACTTCTTGACCAAAAAACCAGGACTACCAAAACGTTTTCGTCCTCAACAACGCTGTGGATCTCGAATCAAATGTATATAACCGACGCTACCATCGAGTTGTTGCAGCAATTGAAAGTCGAATCGTCAATTGCAGAAATTCACGAGCAGTTTGTCCTGACAATGGGAGATCACTTCCATGCGGAACATTTGGATGCAAACGCTGAGTCTGGAACGAACATCCAGACGTGGAGTGTCGAGAAAATTGGTGCAGAGGCTGTGTGGGCGCAAGGCTTTATGGGCTTGAATGTCACCATCGCAACGATCGATACTGGCGCTCGTGCAACACACGAGGTGTTACGATCAAACTTTCGAGGTGATTACGGGTGGTTTGATCCGGAAACCAAAAGTGCGACTCCGTTTGACTTGTCAGGCCATGGAACGCATGTATTAGGTTCAATTGTTGGTACGACAGGCATTGGAGTAGCACCAAGGGCAGAATGGATCGCTTGTCGAGGCTGCCGAAGCTTTACGTCGTGTCTAGAATCAAGTTTGCTCGCTTGTGCCCAATTTGTTCTATGCCCAACGGATCCAAAGGGCATCAACGCAAATTGCAGCAAAGCTCCTCGTATCGTAAACAACAGTTGGGGGATATCTCGTGGGACTGCAAACTTCAGTGCAGTTATTGCAGCGTGGCAAGCGGCTGGGATCATCCCAATTTTTTCCATAGGCAACGGGGGATCGTTGAAAATGTGCAGAACGCTGTACTCGCCTGGAAGTGAAAACAATGTGATTGGAGTGGGTGCAACCGACTCTGGAGATTTTCTGTTTCCGAGAAGCTCTACAGGGCCGTCGCTTGAAAGTCGAATTAAACCGGACATTGTGGCTCCAGGAGTTGGAATTTACTCAGCTTGGTGGACAAGAGACAATGTCTACGCTATCACGTCTGGAACAAGTATGGCATCACCACACGTTGCTGGAGCAGTCGCGCTGCTTCTGAGTGCAAAACCCGGGCTAACTTATAGCCAGGTTTGGGCTACATTGACTACATCGACCGTTAGGGACGAAAGCATCGTACACAATGCCTCCTTTTACTTATCCTGTGGCAACACTTCAGCCTCTACCTTTCCAAACAACATCTTTGGCTACGGGAGGCTCGATGTTTGGCATGCGATGGAGGTGATTCTTTCGAGCAAAGATGCCCACGAGTAATGGATCTCAAATTGTGTTGAATGGCATATTTGCTACTTCGCAAGGATAGGCTGCTTGATTTAAGCGTTGCATTCCTTTAGCATCTTCCATTACTTAGCACCTAAAGTGTTGAAATGATCAAAGTGGACAAGAGTCCGAGTTGATTAATGTAGTGATGACCAGTCATAAGTGAAGCGGCGCACGTTGAGACTTTTACTTTTCATTGACACCTTTCCAACTAACACACCAAGCCTCATCCTGACGATCAGAAGCTCTTTACGTCTGTTCGAATGGACAGCGGAATTGTGTTTTGGAAGTGCGTCATGCTTGTCACACGAGAACCTGTTAGTCACCTAGTATAAAAGCGCCACGGGCAGCTGGTTTTATCATTTGAAGAAGGTGCTCATTTCCAAGCAGAGATCGGCTGATATAAATCAGGATCCCATAGATGTGGTTTGACACGTTCAATTGGTAACATCACTTGTAACCCACAAAATTGTCAAGATTTTCAGAATATTGTACTACGACCTCCCCTGATTGAACAACTCAGGACGTATCTATTGTAAGTGAATCAGTACCCACTGAAATAAGATGTTTGCGTCCCGTCTCCAGCGTCGATTCTGGCTGGTATCATTGTCCACGGAAGCGGTTGGTCCCTTTCCTTTTATAGACGCCCATCCATATTTGCACTTTGCTACAGCAACGTAGCAGACTGATACCATCAGATTTCATCGTTGCACCGTGTAAAAGACGATTAAACGATGTAACCTGATGGTATTAGTCGTAAACATTGCTCCGTCAGCCTGACGAAACAGTATATGCGTCGATGGTGGCACACCAAACTCGATGTATCGACAATAAAAGCTTCACAACTAGTCGGTCACACACAGTCGTGCGTGTGGATCATTCACAGCGCAAAGGTTTAGTCCAATCTCGGGCCAAGAGCTTTTGGCTTCGTCTCAGCGCAAAAAAGCTGTCTTGTCGTTAAATTGGACGGACTCACATGCGCGACCGTCGTAAACACGAGCAGTAACATTTTACTGCCCAGCCACTGCAATAATTTTTCCCAAGCTGAGATCGTAGTGAAGCTATCCACTCAAGTTTGCGGTGAGCGTGGATCCGCTGTAATCTTGAGCTTTGCTGTTCCCATTCCCGTCTCACGATTAATTTGAAAAGCCTCTTCTACGAAAAAGCTTTGGCATCCCGACATCCTTGGAGCTCAGATTTTGCACGACGAAGTATCCTAAAACGACTGACTGCTTGCTCATTAACATATAAAACCCCATCGTCACTGTGATGAAAAATTCATCCAGGTGTGAGTGTGGCCCAATTGAGATTGGTCATTCCGACCGACGTCTGCGATGCCCGCAAAAATCACAATCTGGCCGGCTATTGCCCCAGCACGTCAGGGCTAATCATTGGATAAGAACAAGCCGGAGATGGGGAGGGGGGGGGAGGGAGGGGCGCCGTCTTTGATTGGTCCTCTTGGAAGCGAATCTTTTGAAAAAAAATCCTGCCCAAAGTGAGCGAGCTTAGCACGCCACCAAATCCACTTTAGTCTCACTTCTCCATTCCCCACTCCATTGACAAGTGGAATCCATCTTCCATTTTCGGCCTATAGTGAGAGAGAGAGTGAGAGAGAGAAAACAACAGAGAGCCATGTCTGAGCATAGTCCGTTGCTTGCTAATGGTGATGAACAATTGTACAGCGGCGGAAGTAATGACGATCGCTTCTACATGGGCGTAGACAAACGCTCACTATTAGATACGGGCGAGGCCGGTCTAAGCACAGTCGAAGCATCACGTCGCCTTAAAGTCTTTGGCTCGAATGAGCTCGAGAGCAAGGAAAAGAGTAAATGGATCAAATTGGCCGAGCAATTCTGGGGTCCCATGCCTATCATGATTTGGCTTGCAATCCTTGTGGAAGCCATTACCAGAGACTGGCCCGACTTTTTGGTACTGCTTTTTCTCCAGCTACTTAACGGTACCGTTGGTTGGTATGAGGAGCTTAAGGCTGGCAATGCCGTGGCTGCACTTAAGGCCAGTCTCAAGCCAGAGGCACAGGTCATTCGTGACGGTGTGCACCAGACTATCAACGCTGCTTTGCTCGTACCGGGCGATCGCATCACTCTTTCGTCCGGTGCAGCTGTCCCTGCTGACTGTGATCTGTGTGAGGGACATCCCATGCAGATTGACCAAGCTGCCTTGACAGGCGAGTCATTCCCAGTGACGATGACTGCTGGAGACAATGCCAAGATGGGATCTACTGTTGTCCGTGGTGAAGTAGAGGCTGTAGTCTCTGCTACTGGTGGCCAAACATTCTTTGGTAAGACAGCCAGTCTTATCTCGTCTGTGGACGAAGTGAGTCACTTCCAGAAGATTCTTCTTCGCATTACCATGTTTCTCATGGCTATTTCATTTGTATTGGTGGGATTCTGCCTTGGATACTTGATCTACAATGGTGAGGACTTCCTAGAAGCTATTGCTTTCTGTGTCGTGCTACTTGTCGCCTCCATTCCTATTGCAATGCAAGTGGTATGCACATCGACAATGGCTCTTGGATCTCGCAAACTTGCAGAGGAGAAGGTCATTGTTACCCAGCTACAGTCGATTGAGACGCTCTCGGGCATGAACATGCTGTGTTCGGACAAAACCGGCACGCTCACTCGCAACAAGATGGAGTTGCAAGACGACTTGCCGATCTTTCACCCCACTGCTACTCGTGAGGAAGTGCTTGTGACGGCTGCTCTTGCTGCCAAGTGGAAGGAACCGCCTAAAGATGCTCTTGATACTCTCGTGTTGAACGCAATTGATCTTCGTCCACTTGACAAATACACAATGATGGACCACGCGCCCTTCGATCCCTCGGTGAAGCGCACAGAGTCTACGATCCGCGGACCGGACGGTAAGGTGTTCAAGGTGACCAAGGGCGCCCCACAAATTATTCTTGCTCTCGCCCACAACGTCACGGAGATCCAGGAAGATGTGGAAGCAAAGGTGTTGGACCTGGCGAAGCGTGGCATCCGCTCGCTTGCTGTTGGTCGTACTTCGGAGGAAGAGGCTGAAGGTGGTTGGGTGTTCCTTGGTATTATGACGTTTTTGGATCCTCCACGTCACGATACCAAACGCACGATTGAGCTGGCTCACCAGAACGGCATCGGTGTGAAGATGATTACCGGTGACCAAGCCGCCATTGCTGTGGAGACTTGCCGCATGCTTGGAATGGGCACAACTATCTTGGGCACGGATGTGTTGCCGACGGCTAACGTGCAGGATGGTCTCTCAATGACTCTGGGCTCGGACTACGGTGCTATTGTTGAAAGCGCTGATGGCTTTGCTCAGGTGTTCCCCGAGCACAAGTTTTTGATCGTTGAAGTGCTTCGCCAGCGCGGCTGGGTGTGCGGTATGACCGGTGATGGCGTGAACGACGCTCCTGCTCTCAAGAAAGCTGATGTCGGTATTGCTGTTGAAGGCTCGACAGACGCTGCTCGCGCTGCTGCGGACATTGTGCTCACGCAGCCTGGTTTGTCTGTTATTATCAACGCTATTACTCTGTCTCGCAAGATTTTCCAGCGCATGCGCAACTATGTGACATACCGCATTGCTTGCACGATCCAGCTTCTCATGTTCTTCTTCATCTCGGTGCTGCTGATCCATCCAGACAGCTGCCGCTTCCAGCACTTTATTCCGCATATCGGAGACTGCCCACTCAATACTAATGAGAGCACGGAGTCTGTGGACCCGTACTTCAAACTTCCTGTCATTGCTCTGGTGCTTATTACGATCCTCAATGACGGCACGATTATTTCGATTGCCTACGACAATGTGGTTCCTTCGAAGCGCCCGGAGAGCTGGAACCTGCCTCGTATCTACTGGGTGGCGACGACGCTTGGTCTGATTGCTGTGGCCAGCTCTCTTCTGCTACTCTTCTGGGGCCTCGACTCGTGGAACAAAAACGGCGTTCTTGCATACTTTGGTCTGGGTGACCTTCCTTACGACCAGGTCATGATGATGATGTATCTGAAGATTTCGTTGTCCGACTTCATGACGGTGTTCACAGCTCGTACCGATGGGTTGTTCTTCACGCGTGCCCCTGGTCATCTTCTTGCAGTTGCTGCATGCTTTGCCACTTTCGTGTCTACGCTTCTGGCTGTGTACTGGCCGTTCACGGAGATGGCGGCAATCTCGTTCAGGCTCGCAATTTTCGTCTGGATTTACTGTGTGGGGTGGTTCTTTGTGCAGGATCTTGGCAAGGTGCTTCTCACTTTTGCGCTTGAGCACATTGACCAAATGAACGTTTTCGAGCGTAAGGTCAGTAGCAAGAAGTACGTGAAGCATGAAGCCCAGCGCCAGAACCGCATTCGTATGGGTTCGACTCTACTGAACAACGACTCGTTCATGCACGGCTCGTTCGTGGCCGGTCGACCAGTGGGTGGCTCGTTCGTCGAGCGCAGCATGACGCTTGAGCAGGCCATGAACCGCCTTGTGCGCATCGAAGCTGAGGTGAAGGTAATCCGTGCCATCATCCAGAATGCCTCGAGCTCTGCCAAGGTATAAATTGAATCGACAAGGAGTTACGTGGATGCAATCCACGACTCAGATTGATCACGAAAGGCACAACAAAGCATTTGTTCATAGTAAGTGATTGCCCGTGCACATTTACAATCAGGTAGAAAGTGACAAAGAGATGGAAAAAGCTGTGCGTAAATGCAAACTGTACTACCTTTTTAAACGTCTTCAGTCTCTACTTACATCTATATGCACTAATGGTAACAAATAATCATACATCAAGCTCGACAAGCAAATACTGTATGATTGGCTCACAATTATCATTTTTTTTCTATCCAAAATAGATCATTTTCATTTATTATTAGAATAAAATTTATCTTCAAAATGGATGACCACGAGCCGTCTCCACGTCTGCGTTCGCCGCGTCGCAGTTCACCGGCCGCAAGTCACACCTCGTCCCATATGGTCTTTGAGCCTCCACCCTTACGTCGTGATGCTGGTGGCACTTCGTTGCACTTTACTACGCAACTAGCAGTTACACCGTCTCCTGACCACGAAATGCTGCCGACTACAGCCTTAAACGCCACATCTCTACACTGTTCCTCTTCCTATGGAACAACTCGATTGTCGGTCGATTCTTTGCGCTCTCAACAAGACGCCAGTGGTCCATTTCATGCCTGGAAACGAAGCGTCACGGAAGTTTTGCATGCTGCACCTTGTGTTGTCATTGCTGTGCTTGTAAATTTAATGATCTGTGTCCCATTTGGATTGTCCTTTTTTCCTGTAGAGTGGAAAGATATTCCGGTCCCACATGCTTTAGGCATACAGATGTTTCTATTGACATCAGCCATTTGTCAGTTTACGTTCGTCCTGCTCAGTAATTTTGACGGAGCCATTTGTCAAATGATGGTGGAAAATGTGCCATTCATGCACACAATTTCCATGGCAATTATTCAAGAACTAGGACCCAAGAGTTCAAGTGTCTTGCCGACGATATTGGTCACCTATGCACTGTCGTCAGTTGTATGTGGTGCACTGTTCTACGTCCTGGGACACTGGAAGCTTGGCAATATTGTGTACCTTTTCCCAAAACACATTATTGTGGGTGCTGTAGGTGGGATTGGAGCATTTGTGCTGCAGAGCGGAATTGAAAATGCTACAGGACGTGTGTTTAGCTGGTCCAGGGATGGCATTGAGGGTCTTTTTGACCACGAGATCGTGTGGCTCTGGGTTAGTTCAGCTATCTTGGCATTGGCCTTGTTCATTCTTGCACGCCAGATCAAGTCGCCATTGTTCCCGCCGCTGTTTTTCGTGTCTATTCCACCACTTTTTTACGTGGTATTGCTACTGTTGGGCATTTCGACAGACTCTGCTCGCGAGCATGGTTGGTTTTTTGACCGTGCGCCAAACGTAGCTTTCTATACGCTGTGGGAACAGTATGACTTTTCGCGAGTGGCCTGGCATGTCATCCCGAGACAATTTGGAACGATCGTCGGCTTAACTTTTTTCTCTCTCATGCACGTGCCGATTAACATTCCATCGCTCAGTCTCACTACTGACAAGGAAGTGGATATTAACGATGAACTAGTTGCTCACGGTATCTCGAACACCTTGGGTGGACTGTGCGGTAGTGTGCAGAACTATCTCTGCTATTCAACATCAGCGCTGTACTTCAAGTGTGGAGGCACTGGACGTCGCAGTGGTTTTGTCATTGGACTTATCATGTTGTTTTTCTTCTTTGTTGGGCCCAACGCTGTCTCCTATATCCCCCGATGCATGGCAGGCTGTGTTATGATGCATCTTGGACGGGATCTTTTGAAGGAAGCACTCATTGACACATACGACCAGCTTGATGCATTGGAACTCGGCACTGTGTGGGCTATAGCGGGGACCATGACGTTCTGGGGCATGAATCAAGGTCTGGCTGTCGGTGCCTTGCTTGCCTGTATGACTTTTGTGATGCAGAGTGCACGCACACCGACCAATGCCCCAATCCGTGGAAGCATGAGTGCTGCTACTCTACGATCTCACACATGGCGTACTACGGAAGAGCTGGACGTGCTGGACCGTGAGTGTCGTAACATCCACGTTGTGCAGCTGAAGGGACACCTTTTCTTTGGCAACATCAACCAGCTTAGCGATTACGTGCGCAACCTCTTTCAAAAAGGCCCTTGTTCTACGATCAGTGGGGTGGGGTTTCCACTCGAAAGCGTACTAAGTGATGATGTTCGACCACGACTGGCTATTCGCTGGCTTGTGCTCGACTTTACGTTGGTGGTCGGATTGGACTCTTCTGCAGCGGACCGACTTACCAAGATCAAGTATGCATGCGACACACACAACTGCAAGATTGTGTTTGCAGCCGTGCCATGCGCTTACAATAAGTTCACTGAGCATCTTATCGAGCTTTTTGGTGACAACCGCATGCTACATATCGCATCGGATTTGGACAGCGCGCTAGCATGGTGCGAGAACGATATACTTGGAAAATTTGTGGCCGACAAGGACCTGTCTCCTCCAAGTACATGCGATGCAGACGAAGACGAGCTCACGCATCTACTCAACCTGCGGCGATTCATGCCGGATCAGCCGCTATCCGTACAGCAACGCCTGCTTGACTACTTTTACATCCAGGAAATCAACGAGGATGAAGTTGTATGGAGGCAAGGCGACACCCCGGACCGTGCGCTGCTGCTTATTGATGGAGCGCTAACTGCCGTGGTCGAGGAAGAAGCTGGTACAACAGAGAATGTATCGGTAGGGTCGGTTGTGGGTGAAATGTGCTTTTTGACGGGTGAGAAGCGCAAGACTTCTCTCATTGCAACGAAACGCAGTGTAGTGTATGTTTTGGACTGCAAGAGTTTTGCAAAGATGCTCGAAAAGGACTGCTACCTAGCTTTTCTCTTTCAAGGCATCTCGCTACGCTACACATCCTACCGATTACAATACGTTGGCAATCGTATCTGGGAAACCAAATGCCTCCCAATCTAAAGCAAAACTTGTAAGTTATTGATATAGTACCATATAGAGCTTGTCACACAGGGCGAACGCATAGCAACAGACTACTTGCCTTTTATGTATCCATGTTTGAACATGGCTTCAGTTATCTTGTCATTATGGCTACACTGTACTCATTATCCAAAAAAACCGTTACAAGACACACGACAATCACTCTCAAGACGAATGGAGCTGGTGCAGTTATTGGATGGCAGCCTTTCAGCAGCTACAGACGTTCGTGCAATGAGTGAAGCTCGACTGACCGAGTTACTACGAACCCCAGGCTTTTCTATACAGCTGGGCGAGTTTCTCTTCTCAGCGGAGGCCTCAGAATCACAGCGACAATTGTCAGCACTCTTACTCAAGAAGCTCGTAACGTCCTATTGGGCGGTCAATGAAGAAGATAGCGACGGCTTTTCTTACGTTGTTCCAGAGCAAGAGAAGATTCAAGTGAAGCAGGCACTTGTGCTGGCCTTGCAGCAGCAGCTGGAAGTTTTTGCAGGCAGTAAACTGCAGACGGCACTGTGTCTCATCCTTACGGCCATTTTTGAGCGTGATTGGCCTGACCAATGGTCTGAGATCTTACCAACTGTCATGGCCATGATCTCTAGTCAAGACAAGCTTCGTATTGACTTTGCGGTGCGTTTTTTGTCGCTCGCAGGTGGACATTTCTCCAGTGACAATTGCTGTGAGCTTGTCGCGTCTGTTTTTCCTCATTTGCGACGAGTTTTTGTGCTTGTCAAGGAGTTTCAAGCTGGAACAAGATCCAGAATTGCACGTATTGTGCAGAGCAGTCTACTCATGGTGGGGATGGAAGCACAGGTGGGAAATCCCACTGCGGTGCAGCTGTTACATGAAAACACGACGCAATGGATTGCATTGTTCTTGGAGCAATTGGTCATGCCAGTACAAAGTGTTAAGGACTATTCAATCAAGATTCAGATATTGACGACACTTGCGAGCTTTGTGCGTGAGTGGCCCAAGGAAATGACGGGTTTGATGCCGCAGATCATGCCTCAAGTGTACGGACTAATGGTTAACGATGCAGAAGCGTACGAACGTGATGTGGTGCTGAGTGCCTCGCAGGAGGAGGAAGGTTATGACAGTGATGGAGAAGGCGCGCTTATTGGTCGAAGTGCTATGATTATTGCTGCTTTTGAGTTTCTGCGTGGTGCTGTCCAGGCCCCTACTAAGAAGACACGCCAGTTGATTGTGGGTGGACTGGCCGACTTTGTGTTTATAATGATCGGGTACATGCAGATCACGGTGAGTCAGATAGAGTCGTGGCAGGAAGATCCAAACAAATACGTTGCGGATGAAGACGACGAAAGCCTGGCGTTTAACGTGCGAAACGCTGCTACTGACCTTCTAACCGAGTTGGAGGCTGTGCTAGGACGTAAGGCTGTAGTAGCCGCTCTTGATGCGGCCCAGCGACGTCTGAAGGCTGAAAACACGAGCAACTGGCGGCTTCAGGAGGCAGCATTGCTGGTTGTGGGATGTTTGGCCGCGTCAACACTTGAAGCCATTAGTAAGAATGCTGCCGATATTTCTCAGCTACTGGATCTTTCGGCTTTCTTGCAGACTTTGTTCAAGGTGATGAACGCGGGTAGCCAGGAGATCTATCTGCGTGCAAGAGCTCTGTGGTGTGCAAGCCGCTTTGCAAAGGGTATGAATCAAGAGATGCTAGACGCTTTCCTTCAGGTGGCAATTTTGGGAGTCGAGCAGGGCCAGGTTCTGCCTGTTCGGATGTACGCCTGCCGCGCAATTGGTGCTATTATTTGCAACGACAGGGGTAAGGCTCGGCTTCATGAGGCAAGCGCTATCATCATTGACCGACTGACCAGTCTAGCTGAGCAGTCTACCCATGAGACGCTTCACATTGCTCTTGAGACGTTGGTTGTTGTTCTACAAGAATCAAAAGAACTCACTCTAGAGGCGGCGCAACGAGTTGTTGCTTGCTTCTTGCACCGGTGGAGCCAGAATTTGAATGACCCGCTAATTTCTGAACTAATTGACGGCGCCTTTGGAGCACTTCTTCAGCTTGATAACACTGCTGTAACTATGACGGTCCACGAACAGGTCTTGCCTGTCATTCGTTCCATGCTCGTTCAGAGTGTCTCAGACCTGGAAGGTTCTGGCAATGGTGTTTACACTGCCGGCAGTGCAGTGACTATTCTGAAAACATTGCTTCGCCACTCTTTCGCTTCAAATAGTCCCAAATCGACAAGCAGCGCCGACCCAGTTACTCAACAACTTGGAGCACAGTTCGTCCAGCTAACGTTTGAGCCACTTGTTGTGGTGCTAGGAGCTATTGATGATGAGAAGGTACTCAATGCTGGGTCCGAATGCTTGAAGTGGTTTGTCATGTTCGCTGTGGATCCTCTTGCGGCATATACTACCGCCGCTGGTGGAAACGGTATCGATACAACGTTGTCAGTTTCCGCGAAACTGTTATCACCTGCTGTCTCCGATGCAAGCGCCACCTGTGTTGGTGGCCTGATTACTCAGATCTTGCTGAAGCTGGGCCCCGGGCTGCCAACTGCGACCGTTCAGTCAATCCTGAGTGCTGTCTGCGCTCGACTTGCGGCCACAGAGTTACCGTCCCTGGTGCAGTCTTTGTGCATGGTGTTTGCTCGCCTTGTCCATTCTCACGGCCACGAAGTTCTAAACGTGCTGGAGCAGTTGCCGCCTCCGCCTGCACCGGAAGGCCATGACCAGGCTCCGAATATGCTGACTTTTGTGTTCCGAACCTGGATCGAAAAACAGCAGGATTTCTACGGACTCTACTGCATTAAAGTGACTATGAGTGCTCTGATCAAGGTTGTCGAGTGGAATGACGCTCGAATTAATTCCATCGTTGTTACTGGAAGCGCGGTCGATTCGGCTAGCGGAGATACCACGGGTATCCAGACTCGGTCAAAGGCTCGTAGCAGTCCTGCAAGTAGCAAGACGCAGTACACGATGGTACACTTTTTGACAAAGTTTGTTGTCATTCTTGCGAAAACGATGTTGAACCTGGCTGAGGAGGAGGAGGAGGAGTGGGAGTCAACTGACGATGATTCGTCGGATGGTGAAGGTGAAGACGATGTCATCTCCGGTGGCACATCTTCCGTGTTCGCACCTGCAGGTGAGTGAGCTTGTTTACGTAGTCTAGGCTGACTATCACTCAACTTACATTATGTCGCGTGAACGAACAGAGGATTATGAACTTCTGTCAAATCGCTTGGATGCCAGCGGCGCTGTAGAAACACATCGAGGCGAAGAGCCCGAGGAAGAATTTGAGGCGTACTTTGACCCTTTGAACGAGGTCGACCTAAAGGTGTGCAAGGGTTTCGTGTTCAGTTTGGCGCTGTTATGAAATCCTTACTGACTTTGTTTCTTCGTTTCCTGGCTAGAGCGCGATTCCTCAGACCTTGCAAAACGTCACGGCTAACGCGAACGTGCTCGAGGCCATCATGCCGGAACTGACGGCCGCGGATAAAGAAGCACTTGCTGCCGTGTCGGCGTTCTCGTCGTAATACGGACAGCTTTGGCCATACCCTGTTGTGCTGTGCAACATCCTGTCAAAAGAACCGTTGTCTGAAATACTACGCGTGTTGTGAGGGGGCTTCATTTCCTCCGGCAAAAGTGCACCAACTTGATCCAAGCGGACAAGCCTTACTCCAGAGTCTTCAGGTGCTTTCCACCGTCCATACAGAGTGTCCTCGAGCAAAAATGACAATTTTGTTGCAACATCGCGATCATGAAGTGCTGATTTCGAATGGAACAATGACAAATTTTTGGAGAGGGTGTTTTCTTGTGTCGCGCAGGATAATATCTTTACTTGAAGGTGTCCATGTCAGGAGACAGTACCACTTGCGATAGGTTTCGCATACATGCAGCAAGACTTTAGTCACGATGTTTTTATCCGAAAGCATATCTCTTTTGTACTTCTTCACGATGGCATCGTCCATTGAGACTTCATCAAGCAGATTATTGCGGTTGTTTCTAACTTTACTGTATATGACGGACATTCTCACGTATCATGCAGACCACAGTCTAAACAAGCCTCTTCGCAACAACAAAAACACCCACGTAGTTATTAGCACCACCTTTTAAAACACTAGATAGATAATGAGTGCACTTATTATCGCTACGGAGCTTGACACTTTCAACAGTTTAGCAAAAGATGACACCTTCCAAATAATAAATCAACAATTCGACAACAGTCATTTTGCATCTCGTATGTTTATTCTTCACTTGCCATTCTGTCGACAAAGAAATCTCTTTCTCATTTAGTTTTTGTATTCTTCCGAGTGCAAACAAAAAAAATGTAGAGGTCACGTGTGACTCGTCGACCTCTTCAGTTTCAAGCTTCGTCCTTGTGGGAGTACTGCTTCTTACCACGAAGCTGCATCTCTCCAATCATCTCGAGATTCTTCTGGACAGCATCAGCTGCTCTCTTCTGAAAAAACCATTGCCCGTCACGCTTGACCAGCACGTCCGTCCATGTGACGACCATGACGGGCGTGCACTTCCAAAAGACCGTGGTGTGGCTTGACACTGTGGCATTCTCAGCATCCACGAGGTCCACGACATGTCCACTGGGTAGATGACGCGTCTCAGTTACGAACGTGAGCTTGGCCAATTCCTGCAGAGCCGCCTCGATCTCGCTCTTGCCCGTGCAGTTCCCACCCACAAGTTCTTCAAAGAACGTGGCGTCATCCGTGAAGAGTGATAACAACGTCTTGACTGACGCGCCGGCGTCCTCTAACGAATAGGCGAGTGCAAATTTGTTGACGAGGTTGATAATCGCCGCAACGTCACTCATTGTTTCAAATAGGGGGATCGAAAAAGATATCTCACTGGTTTGCTTCAAGTCCAAGATATCTGGAAATGAAGTAGGGGGGTTTGGTAAATGTGGGTTTGTATTACAATGACACAACAATTGAATTAGGTACGAATAAGAGACTGGATCTTTGACGATATCACGAGACCATTGAACTGCGTACAAAAAGTATTGCTACTTACTCTCTGTAGTTGGAAATTAATATGCAGAATGATGAGTGGAACGCATTTGCAAGACGGGTTTCATTGCATCTCGAGTAATTGGTGATGCGAGGCCTCATTTCACTTTGCGGAACATTTGCTGGTGCTTTTGTACATGGAACTTTTGAGTCAAACGACCTCCGTATCTGCAGGTGAACAAACGATCGACAACATGCTTTTGGTTTGTAGACGTCAAGACTTGAGCACTCCCCTTTCATCGTTACACTCTTCGCTACGTCGAGCAACCGACTTTAAATGTACGGTATTACACTACTGGCAACTACTACTACTACTACCTACTGCTCAGTGCTGTCGTTTCTACTGACGTTCTAAACTGCATTCTTTTCCTTAACGACGGCCTCAGCGACATTGAAACTCCTGGGAAACCTTCCACTTCATGACGCCATTCTTTTCTTTCGCCGCCAGTGGCCTGTCCATCTTAAGAGCCGATTATATTCCTCTAGAACAGCAAAATGTACTGCAAAGTCCTACGGATAATCAATCAATCGCTTATAACTTGAAAGGGTTCTACTGTAGTTAAAACCTACAGGAGATGCGACACATAACCTAGACCTAAAATCGTCGCCACTTTTAGTCATCAGCTCTAAATAAAAATCGAAAAGTTCTAAAGCGACCTCTTGAGTTTTTCCACGCGCTGTCTTCTTTGTGCAAGTTGCTCACGTCACAGTCCACTCGCCGTTTTTATCGTTTGATAACCTAGAGTGCGCTTTTCTTTTACTGGTATTATTAAGCGTAAAATTCGAGTTGAAACCTGACGACAAACAAACAAACGAACAAACGTGTTAAGTAGATTAATAAAGTAGGAGATGTATAGTCGAAGTATTAGCAGGAACTAGATAATGTGGAAATAACTCCAGTCAACTCCACTTGTTTACGACTGGTGCTTGCTTCGCTTGGACGATGGCGGGGCCGTACCTCGATCGTCCGGGTGGAATCGACGATCTTCATTCTGTAGCTCCAGAATTCGTTTACCTTTGTACAGACCCTTAGACTTAGCAGCACAGCCATAGGACAGGCTAGCACTTCGATCCAGCGGACTGTACCCCAACGGCATTTGTCCCGCTGGGTCACTGGAGTAGCCACAGTCACTGCGTGTGGCAGGAGTATACAAGTCTTCACTAAAGCTGCGCATTCTCATTGACACACTCACTGCCGGTGGGGGCATTGGAGCGTCAATAGCTGGTACGTGCCATGTCTCCGAAATTTTTCGTTTCGCTCCACAAGTTAATCTTGGGGTCGGGGGGCGCCCTCGATTGGAGCTTTTTGGATGAGACGTTGTCGTAGCTGTTGGTCGTATAGCATTGCAGTCTAGATCATGTCTTCGAGGGCTGATATTGGTCGTATGCTGGCGTAGTCGACGATGTAATTTCTGAGTCGGCGTAGAAGGTTTTACCCCCGATAGTACCGCTCCTTCCTGAAACCTGTGACTGATGCTGACTGGCACTGGGCGAGCAATGGGTAGTAGCGTCATATTCATTTGCACAAAATTCCACGTAGCATTGTCACTACAAGAAAGTGGTGTGTTCACGATAGACTTGTTAATGCAGAGATCCATAACTTGATCGTGTCCAAATTGAGACTCCATGGTGGCTGGAGGAGGAGGCATCAAGAAGAAAAGAATTCAATCTTTAGAGAAGAATGTGAGTAAAGTTTGGAAAAATTGCGAGTGCGTGAGTAGATGGCCAGGTACGTAATTTTCTCACCTCTTTTCAACTCGTCAAAGCTGCGGCTTTCCAAGGCAGCAATGGTCGAGTTTTTTATTCCAATTTCACTCTTGCATAAAACATAAGGCTTTTCCGACAAGGAATTTGTTATTTCTGTGGAGCTTTCGGGCAATCTGCTACATCAATGGTAGCTAGAAGCTTCTGTTGGCTGAGAACTCTAGACACCTTGTGCTAATCTATGGTGCTTAAGTTCCATAGGTTATTTTTACTAAAGCTCTTCATCGCTTCTGTGTTTGCAGACGTTTCAAGAAGTATTTTGAAACAGTTTAAGTGTAAGAATAATGGAGGTTCTAAATCGTTCCTCTGTATTATCAACCACAGCTACATATTAGATTGGACAGGATGAAACCGGGAATTGGTTGGGCAGAACCTCAATCTTACCCGATGTATTGGCTTTCGCTCGAGCGAAAAGCCAAAACAATCGTATCGGACACAAAAACTCCATCCCCACGATCAAAATACCACCACATCTTGATCCTATTGTGCTACATAGCACACTAGGGTTCTGTCCAAACTCAGCATCCACAAGTTCACTGTTCTTGCGGAGTGAAATTGTCAAAGTATCGACTAATTTGTCCAATGCTTAGTTCCTGGGTAGCTTCAGACATATCCTCGACAAGCTTTCCTATTAAATTATCCACAAGCACATTTTAGATCGCCACAATACACAGTTCTTATCTTGAATTTTACCTGGAATGCCGCCAATCCTCGAGAATGGCAGGATAACAGCATCAGCAGGAACAACAGTATTGTCTTCGATCCGACAACAGTCTCGAATGATGGCTCGCTTTCCCTGCCACCCGAATAAACATGTCACTGTCAGCTAAAAGCTCACTACAAGTTGCAGAGAGAGAGAGAAGGCACCTACAATGACACAGTTTTTGCCAATCTGCACGTAAGATCCGATCATTGCAGCTTCCACTACCGTGTCTTCCCCAATATACACATAATCTCCTACTTTTACTGGGATGTAGGCCAATCCTCTATCCACAATGACAGTATAAAAATCAAATGTTGATCCTTTCAAAGCGACTATAAATAGCCACATGGGAGTCGTACGTGGACACGACTCTTGGCGGAGGCTTTACAACACAATTTTCTCGAATAATGCATTGCTTTCCAAGCGAAACTTTTGCCAAATCGGCACGGACGATTGCACCTGAATCAACAATAGTCTGCAAAAGTTTATACACCAATTTTTAGTTACATGAATATTTAAATAAAAAACAGATTTAGCATTTGATACAAGTAGCTTATTTAGAGACCTTGCCGCGTAAATGGATGTTATGCGCACCACATAAGGTGCATTTACGACTTATTTTGTTGCCTGTAGACGTATGAATGTACAGTTTCGGGTCAAATTGCCTCTCGGGCGCCTCCACATACGGGTTCATTTTAGCCACTAGTAGTTTTGTATGCAAATGAAATTGGGCACTTGTTGCACTAATTTTGCCTATTGTTTTAGCAACTTTTAGGAGATGGCTAAAATGTTGCAAAGCTGTGCAGGGGTCATAATGGCTCAAAGCATAGTGAAAGATAAATAAAACATGACAAGAGTGACGTCAGAACAAATGACACCGCTTGTGTCGTTTGGTTTAGTAACAGATGTACAATACGCCGACGTAGAGGACGGATGGGATTTCCACCATACATCGCAGCGATACTATCGCAATGCCTTACCGCAGTTACAAGCGACAGTTGCAGAGTGGCTACGCGTGGCCAAGAGTGAAACTTCGACGACCAAACTTCGCTTCGCCGTGAATTTAGGAGATCTCATTGATGGTAAGAACCGACCAGCTTTTACGTCACGACAAGCTCTGGAGAGTACCAAAGCAGCTTGGAAGCTATTTGAAGACACAGTGGGGCCAGTGCATCACCTCGTTGGCAACCACGAGCTTTACAATTTTCCAGCATCGGTGATCCAGAAGGAACTTCTTTATCAACCGCCAAGGACAGTTGAGAGTGCACCTCGACGTAGTTACTATGACTTTCAAGTACCTGATGCACCAAACTTCCGCTTTGTAGTGCTAGATTGCTACGGGTTGTCCGTCCTTGGACGTGAGAAAAGCGACCCGGTGTACCAAGAAGCCTTGGCACTACTGCGTCGTATAAACCCGAACGAGAACTTTAATTCTCCTACAGGTCTTATGAACGAGCAGAGGAGGTTCGTCGCATTCAATGGAGCCGTGGATCAAGAGCAGATGTGTTGGCTGGAGGAGACTCTTGTCAAGGCGACGAAAAATAAGGACCACGTCGTGATTTTTACGCACGTTCCGATCCACCCGAGCACGACACCAGCACCTTCTAGTTTATTGTGGAACTACCCAGAAATGCTAGAGCTCATCCGGCGTTTCAGCTGTGTTCGTGTCGTCTTTTCGGGTCATTCACATGCTGACGGATACGTGTATGAACATGACGGCATGCACAGCAATGGAGTGCACTTTGTTGTGTGCGACGCCATCCTAGAATGCACACCGACCGAGACTGCACATGCACTAGTGCATGTATTCCATGATAAATTGGTCGTCCAAGGCTACGGTAAGATTCCTACACGCGAACTTTGCTTCTTATAGAAAAAGTGAAGCCACTGCAACAAACGTCATAGAATCAACACGACGCTAGCTGATGAAGTGAAGTAAACTCCGTGCTAATATAGCTACACATCTTGTTCCAAGCAGAGAAAAAGATAGATCAATTAATGCATCACAGCCACAGCACTTGCGATCGCGCTTGTAATGTTTTGATTGTTTGCATCAGGAGTCCCAAGCCTTATTTACGCGCCACGTCAATTTTTTTACTCCAAAAGTTGACTAGTTTGCTAGCAATGGCACTAATTGGCTGGCTTCGCTCGTTCGCCTTCCTGCTCAGCAAACTGGACCTACATTCCAAGACGCCCTCGCTTCCAGATCCAGTATCCCTCATTGCAGTAGCTAGACGATAAAGAAAAAGGACCGCTTAATGGTGCTCGTCTTCCTTCTTCTCCGCAAAAGCGTGTCCTGTAAATTATACGAACATCACATTGAGATTAAAAACCTGTACAAATCCATCGTCTCTCATAATTTATATCAACGTACTGTGGTGGCACCACCATTCGACAGCGCAGCCGGCACTGCCGATAATGAGCATCATGTGCACAAGTGGCTTCACGCTGCCATTGTAAAGAAAGCGGTTGCCATAGCCTTGCGCCCAAGCGTTAAACTTGTTCGTGGGCGGGTTGGCCGAGCGTGCAGCAATACCAGCGCGAGCACGGTCCACCAAATTAGCAGTGGCGGCGCGTGAAGCCTGGTATTCCTGCGCTAGCTTCTCCGGGTTCGTGTCGGCCAGACGGCGGATCTCATCCAGTGTGTATTCCTTGGACATGATGATGATAAAAGTAGGGGACGTGTGAGTCTTAATAATGAGTCTAATGTAGGGCGGAGAGATGTAGGCAGCTTATGAATTTGTTTGATTGGCTTTTAATAAGAAAGAGATATGATTGGTAAAAACTAAGAAATGATGAGCTTGTGACAGCAGTGTACCTCGAGTCGGTGTCGCAACTACTTCAATGACACGTTCTGATAATGTCTGTTTTATAGTGATGTATAGTTAACTAAATCAGCTGCAGCGCGTCTTCGTCGGATTCTGACGTGAGAGCAACTTTAACATTGAGCAAAATACTTGACAAAAAACCGCAAGTAAAGTTTTATTGACCATGAGCAAATATTCCCATCTACTGCAGCCTTTGGATTTAGGCTTTACGCAACTAAAGAACCGCGTAATAATGGGTTCAATGCATACGGGACTTGAAGAAGGCAAATCGCTTACTCGACTTGCTGCTTTCTTTGCTGAAAGGTGATGCATGGACTATAAAAAGGATCATTTTAATGTATTATTTCAATATTACATAATACCGCATTATTCATGTGTATCTTCTTGCTTCTTTGTTTTAGAGCCAAGGGAAATGTCGGTTTGATTGTAACCGGTGGTATTGCACCTAATCGTGCTGGTCGTGTCAGTCCTTTGGCTGCTAAATTGACAACACATCGAGAAGTAAATGCACACAAGGAAGTGACACAAGCGGTACATGACAATGACGGCAAGATTGCAATGCAGATTCTACACAGTGGACGCTACGGGTATCACCCGTTCACTGTGGCTCCATCTCCTATCAAGGCACCCATTGGTTGGTTCACACCAACGGAACTATCGAGTTCTGCAGTTGAAAGAACGATTCAGGATTATGCCAATTGTGCTGCACTTGCACGTGAAGCAGGATATGACGGGGTGGAGATTATGGGGTCAGAGGGATATCTTATCAACCAATTTATTGTCAAACACACGAACAAACGCAACGATGAATGGGGTGGACCTTACGAAAACCGCATTCGTTTTCCAATTGAAATTGTCAAAGCTGTGCGTGCTGCAGTAGGCAGAGACTTCATCATTATCTTTCGTTTATCGATGCTGGATCTGATCGAAAAGGGCAGTACGTGGGACGAGATTGTGATGCTTGCCAAGCAAATTGAGGCTGCAGGTGCAACAATTATCAATACAGGTATTGGTTGGCATGAAGCACGTATCCCAACGATCATAACGAGTGTACCCCGTGGCGGGTTTTCGTGGGTTACTCAAAAGATGAAAGGCGAAGTTTCAATTCCTCTTATTACGACAAACCGCATCAATATGCCCGATACTGCAGAGCTGATCATTTCGGAGGGCAGGGCAGGTAAGTTTGTAATTGTGCTTGTTCAGAATATGCTGATGATTCAGGTTGTATCCGTGCACTTTATGGCCTGTAGATATGGTGTCAATGGCGCGGCCATTTCTCGCCGATCCGGAATTCTTACGCAAGACTGAAGAAGGCCGAGTGGACGAGATCAACACGTGCATAGGTTGTAATCAAGCTTGCCTGGATCACACGTTCAAGGGAATCACAGCAAGCTGCTTTGTGAACCCGCGCTCGGGCTATGAGACTTTGCTGAAGTATACTCCGACGAATGGTTAGTTATGCCTTTAGCAGACAACTTTTTTAGCGTCCTAAACGTTCTCTTTCATGACGTAGATGTTCAGCGTGTGGCCGTCGTGGGGTCTGGGCCTGCTGGCTTGTCATTTTCAACTACAGCGGCATTGCGCGGTCATGAGGTGACTTTATTCGACGAAGCCGATGTCATAGGTGGTCAGTTTAATATGGCCAAAATTATTCCTGGCAAGGAGGAATTCTATGAGACCCTTCGCTACTTTGAAAAGCAGTTGAAGCTGAAAGGCGTAAGTGTAAAACTTGGACGACGTGTGGACGCCGCAGATCTGGTAACTGGAGCGTTCGACAAAGTTGTGATAGCAACGGGTGTTGTGCCACGTTCCCTTAACATTCCAGGTGCGGACCACCCAAAGGTCCTAAGCTATATTGACGTCCTCAAGAACAAGGTGTCCGTGGGAAAAAAGGTGGCCATCATTGGTGCAGGCGGCATTGGCTTCGATGTGGCCGAGTTTCTGACTCACGAGGGCGAGTCTGCGAGCTCAAGCGTAGACGCCTTCGCTCGCGAGTGGGGCATTGACACAAACAACTCCGTCCGTGGTGGTGTCGCTGGCATCAAGCCCAGCATCCCACTACCAGCACGCGAGGTCTACCTGATGCAGCGGAAGAGCACAAAGCACGGAAAGGACCTTGGCAAGACCACGGGCTGGGTCCACAGGCTTTCACTTAAGCATCGTGATGTGAAGATGATTGGTGGTGTAACGTACGACAAGGTGGATGATGCGGGGCTCCACTACACTGATCAGAAGGGTAAGAGGCAGGTGCTGGACGTGGAACATGTGCTCGTTTGTGCTGGCCAAGTGCCGCTGCGCGAGCTTGAGAAGCCGCTGCAGGAGAGGGGCGTCACGGTATTTCGCATTGGTGGTGCCGATGAGGCTGGCGAGCTAGATGCAAAGCGCGCAATCGACCAAGGTGCCCGTCTGGCAGCAACGATTGAGACTGCAACGCCTGGTGACCCATTGAAGGCTGCATCTACTTTGTCGGCAAAATTTATCGAGTTTATTACAGGTTTTCAGAAGTAACTAAGGCTTGCACTTCGACGTGGCCGTAACTAAGAATCGGCAGTAATGTAACAGCTGAATAAACCTGAACCTAGCTCTCACCTGCCTTTACTCTATTTTCTGACGCTTGGTTTGGCTCAGCCTCTTAAAAAAATCCGTGATGTCCTCTTTTCGTACAGTCTTGCCTTCCGTCGCAAAGTTTGCAAGGTACTGCTGAAGATTGGTCTTCATGAGACTGTAGCCCATGGCAACCTCCACCTGTTGCTCGTGTGTAAGTGTCTTTGCAAACGCGCGCTGAGCAACTTCCTCATCTGAAGCAGTCTTCTTTTCCCTTGCGCTAGCTTCATACACGTGCAACGCGTCATCAGGATCCAGTAGAAAAGGAATACCATGCTTTTCCAAAAGTGTGGTACACGACGAGCAATGGCAAAGATCATTGCGCCACTCACTCGACCAGAAAGTCGGCTGCAAGGTCGTTGAACCCTTGGCCTCTAATTGCTGTTGCTTCTTCTTGAGCACACATTCATTCTTGTCCGATTGCTTCACTTTGGAAGCATCACTATCACCACCAGCGATAGTTTCCTCGTCTTCTTTACCTTCGACATCACAATTGTCCACCGTATACGCCATAAGAAACGGGTGTTTCTTCATACAATCAAAGCAGATGAGCTCGTCATAGTTTGCAGGCACCAAACTGTCTTTACAGTCAGTAGCTTGGTCCACAGCACCATCGGTAGATAGCTCTTTTTCCGTCTTGGTCAAAACCATTGCATCCTTTTCAGCAGTCTGACTTTCAGGTGTCTTCACAACATCCTTAAAAATGTGCTCCTCATGCAGCCAGTCTTCACAAATGATACATTGCACCATAATTTCCATCGTTGTTCGTTCTGGATCGGGATACGGTCGATGACAATTGCAATATATCCCTCCATAATTCTGCGAATAAGTGTTTCTTGAATTTGTCGATGTCTTGGCCACTTCCAGCTGGCAAGGATTAGCTGTACCACATCAAAAAAACCACGTATGGTTACAATCATTACATGCCACTCACTTACAGCAACATAACGCACTCTTAGGAAACTTTTCATTGCCGCAGTCACAGCGAAACGCACGCTTCGTATAGAGCTCCACGAGCTCATGATCTTGATGACACTTGTACGTACAGGCCAAACACACACCTGCACGTGTCTCTGACTTCTCCAAAGCATCAGGAGTGCAGGTCATACAAGCATAAATTGCTTGACGAATGTATCCCATTGGGTAGCTACAGTATGTGTCACTGGCATCGCCTAACACTGCATCCGCCGTCTCTGTCATGTGTTCGTTTTGCTTGAGAACATCCAAGAGCGTCACCACGTCCTCTTCGTCTGCATTGTTTTCATTTGTCTCTTCTTTCTCTCCTTCTTCTTTACGATCGCGTTTATTCCCAGCTATAGGTGAAGACGTCTCTGTATCAATCATATTTTGGGCTTTTTGGATAACAGTAACTGAAGCTTCGTTGCCCAAAATATGACATTATAAAATGGGATCTTTGACAAAGTTGACAGTATGTAAAAGTACCCAAATTCGAGACTTATTTTCATTGGAGTCGAGTGACCGGAAAATGGTCTTCTTTGTGTGCGAAGGTTGCAATGAGACGTTAAAGAAGAACAAGGTGGATGTACATGCAGGTAGATGCCGCAACTGCTGGGCTGTGAGCTGTGTGGACTGCAGCGTCGTGTTTGAGGGTAACGATTATGCGGCTCACATGAGCTGCATTTCCGAAGCCGAAAAGTATGAAAAGAGTTTGTTCCAAGGCGACAAGAACAAGAGCAAAAGCGGCAAGAAACAGACACCACAGGAACGATGGATGGAAGTCGTACAGTCGTCTAGAAGTGTAGACGATCGAAAGGTACAGGACGTGCTCACGCGCATCGCTGGCTACGACAATGTGCCCCGTAAAAAGAACAAGTTTGTCAACTTTGTCAGCAATAGCTTGGCATTGCGTGATACGACGCTCGTGGAGAAATCCTGGACGATTTATGAAACGGCTTTCAAGGCTTCTGCACCGAAGATTGCTGAGCAAAATGCAAGCAGTACTGATGCGGAGGAGAACTGTAGCAACAAGCGACCAGCTGAGACGGTAGATACTGAAGTTAGTAGCAAGAAGACAAAGACGGAAGACAAGCCGATCAAATGGAGCAAGCTGATAAAATCTGCGCTAAAAAACGCTGGCAAGAAGTTGGAGATGGAAATGCTGCGGGATCAGGTGCTAAAGCAAATTCAGGAGAAGGAGCTGTCGACGAAAAGTGAAAAGGAACTGAAGAAGGAGTTTAAGGCAGCGATCAAAGCCAGCGATAAGTTTGTAGTGATTGAAGTGGTGCGTCTTAAATGAACGCGTCGAATAGATAGACTATATATGTCGATACAATGCGAATAAAAGCTGAACATACAGAAAAAATCGTATGCTTTGCTCCCAAACCTGACCTCAAGTAATGCGATGGGCCTCTCTGACGCTCGATTCGATAAACCCGTCTAAAGTGTTAAAGCCGGTAGTCATTTTACTTCCATTCACGTGTCAATGACCAGCAGCACTAAGACACGAATGTATGCTTCACCTTTTCAGTCAAACCATCCATTGTCGTCAAGGAAGACCCCATCAAATAGTGTTTATTGATTCCATCAAAGAAACGCATAAGAAATTGCAGTGTAATGCAGTCTTCGCAGTGCCCTACTACAAGTTACGTTAAAGCAGCATCCACAGCAGTCACGTCACTAGAGTCAATCTTGTTGGCAGACGGTAGTTCATCGAGCTTCTTTTCCGCCACCTCTGATGTCACATCCGTCGTTTCAGCTTCATCTTGTGACGTGTTCGTCGTCTCAGCAGCTTCAGGGGCGACCTCCTCAACTTCTTCAGCCACGTCCTCCACCTTCTCCGCTGTGTCAGCCATGTACGTTATTACCTTAGTCACTTTCTCCATTGCCTTATCCACGTTCTCCATTGTCTCAGCGATCATCTCCTCCTTTCCAGCTTCTCTAGCAGCTGTCTCGTCCGTCCTAGCCTTCTTTACAACGTGTTCGTCATTCGACTCCATCTCCTCGCGTTCCTGACGTTTCTTCGTTCCTTCTTCGCCCTCCACAACGATCTCCTCCTCCTTCACCCTCGTATCTTCCTTCGTCATTTTGTCGCTCTCTGGCGTCTCCTCCTCCCTCTTCTGCAGCGTGTCAGGCGCTATTAGCTCGCGGACAAATGTGTCCACCTTATCAAACTTGGAGCTCGTATAGTCGCCCACGATCTTGCTCTCCTTGTATACGCGAAAGTGCGGAAACCCGTCCACTTCTATCTCCTCACAGAGCGTTTTGAGTTCCTCAGCACTCACTTGAACAAACGTAGCGCTTGGTGCCAGTTCTTCAGCAAGCGTTGCGACTTTCGGTGCTACCATCTTGCAGCCGCCGCACCATGGAGCCGAAAAGAAAACCACCAACGGCTTCTCTGTCGTGGCCGCGACTGCGGCGTGAAAGTCTTCGGCCGACGAAATCGCAATCATTCTTTTTTATTAGAGTAAATGTCGAATGGGTGCTTCACTTGGACGTGGTAGATTGAAGAATGAATCGAAGGCACTTTGGTTGCCTTTTTAGCATACAAACATCAAGATATTGAAAAAGAGGAAACATGGCCGAATCGATGGGAAAGATTGCACCTTTACACCATGCGTACATCAATTTGATGTACTGTACATACATACATCCTCTTTTTATTTTTGATTTAAAAAGCCTGGAAATCCCTAAATTGGTTCGAATAACCCCTTCGATTATAGAAATGACGGTCGACGTCGATGTTAATCGCAGTGGCCTCAAAGCCGATCATCTCGAGTATTCAGCATCGTCACACTCTGCTTCAATGAGCACAGACGTAGACGACAAGACATTGCGCAAGAAGCAGTTTGTAGCGTGTCGTATTGAAGGACACAAGATTCAGAAAAGAGTGTCACCTAAGAAGAAGGCACTTGATCCGCTTCGTTATCTGCCGGAAAATGGCGGCTACTACGTCCTTTTTACTATTGCTTCGTACTTGAAAGAAGACGACGAAGCAGCGAATCAACGACATGTGGTGCAACGTAGCTACAAACAGTTTCGATCACTGCATTTTCGACTTCTTAAGACGTATCCCAAGTCGAATTTACCACGAGATTTACCGTCTATGCGGAATAAAAAGCTGGATAAGGAGTATATTGAGATGAAATGCAATGAATTGACGCACTATTTGACTCAGTTGATGCAAATCTCACAAATTAAGGCTTGTCATATGCTACATGAGTTTCTAGAAACATCCACTGCAATTGAAGACAGTAGTGAGGATGACGATAAATTGCTGATACCTTCAAGGATGTTGGAAGGACTGCCGGGTACGATTGTGACTGTGAGAGCTGGTCAGTCATTCTCTGTAACGCTACCACTTGATGTTGCTGGAGATGTAGCATCGTGGCAGTTTACGACCAAGAAACACAATATTGGATTTAGTGCAACATTTGAAGGTGAAATGATCTGTGCATACTCTCGTGAAGGTGCAGATTTGAAACCGGTCAAAGGATTTTATCGCTGTACTACATCGGGTACATGTACACTCACGTGGGATAACACGTATACGTGGAGCAAAGCCAAGGTGTTGATTTACTGGGCCGAGGTCGAGTCGAAGAACGGACCAATTCAATTGAATAGACAACATCAACCTTCTCGTGCATCTGTTGCAGTTCAAGATACGGATGTGTCAGCTGAGAGCACTGACGTCATGCCAACGGGTAGCGGAGCAGGATCAGATGCCATGGATATGGATAATCGTCGAATGGGCTTTATCGATTATACACGTAGCAACGCAATGCATCCACGGCATCTTATGAACTCGTCCATTTCTTTACTGTCAAAGCCATTTGTGCATGGATATGTGGGAAACGAAGATACTTCTGCGCACGGAAAAACTCGACACATAATAACTCGAAGAATGTCGGGACATGCGCTTACAAATCCAAGCGAACTACAAGGCTCTAATTGCAGTCGGCCTTCAGTGAAGGCGGGATCTCTTATCATCCAGCGCCGTGTGACATTTCGTGGACGCAACTGGTACCGGAAGTGGTTTGTGCTGGACTTGCGGAAATGTGTTTTGCGTTACTACGATTCAGAGGCTGCGGCTCACCGAGGGTTGTCGTTGGCTAAGCTCAACTTGTCAAATAAGCATGTCTCTCTGGCTATCACCAGCAGTTTGAGTCTGGATGCGGCTCCCACACCTTATGTGTTTCTCATTCGCACCAAGAATCGTTCCTGGAACATTTGTGCTTCATCACAGAGTGAATATAGCGAGTGGGAAAGTGTAATATCAACGGCTATCCTGACTGCGCAACAATCTCGACGTGGCAGAAAGAGCAAGAGTGCAATAGCTAAAGCCGCAAATTCGTCAGCGATACAAAAGGGTTCGCATTTCGATGAATCTGAAGATGAATTACCACAATCCGGCGCATTTACGGACACCAATGGCAGTGCCGTGACAACGTCGAAGTCGTCTCGGGGTCGTGGCAAGCCACTTGGTCGAAGTGAAGAGTCTGACGACGATGACGACGATGACGACGACTCGGACAATAAAGACGATGGTGACATTGATGATCACGAGGATGATGAGTCTGAGTCGGGCTCCAACGACGAGTCACACAAGGGCGATGATGACATCGAAGTTGTCCAACCCGGTATGTATATTACTTCTCCAATCAACAGCCGTATTGAGGCAATGGAAGGCTTACCGGAGCTGTCAAACCTCCCAGTGGAGTGGAAGCTCGTTCTTGCAGCTGTGCTGAACGTGGCGCTCCTGTCTATACGGCTCGCCCCTGCTGAGGTAATTGTGTTGGTTCTTCTTATACTGGACTTGTATTTAGTACTCAAGTACTCGAAGCACGCGAGTAATAATGAGTCAGATGCGATCTCATCCACGAAACCCAAGTTGGAATAATTTAAACATGACAAGTGGAAGGTGTAACCTTATATGTGTGTTCGACAGTTCGAGCGTTAGTTGTTGCACTCTGTGTATTGCTGCCGAACCACTCAAGATACGGGTGTTCCCACTTTTAGCCAAAGATAAGAACTCGTGCGCAATGGTAAATAAAAGCTTGCGCCATAACCAAATATCTTCTTGGAATAAAGGTTGTAACAGGGCATCTAGTTACACGTAAACATTAAGTAATACTTTATTGTAAGGTCTAAAAGTATCCATAATTACTTTTGACCTGTCAATTGAGTGCGATACACAAATGTGATCCACCCTCGTGAATGTGATATCCATTGATGGATTCACATTGGAAGGGATGACGCTGGTTGAAGCTAGGCATCAGGACGTCTCAGAAGGACGTCATTCGCAGCTTAAATCTAGATTTAAGCTCATGCGTCAGGATACGCTTTTAAAGAGTCGCGTATCCAATCTTTATATATAATTAGCCAATCAGTTGTTAAGTTTATATATGTCATTATAATTCATTAAATATAGCTCAGTCTTGAATTTACTTAAACAAACGCACCACGCACGAGAAGTTGAAAGACTTCTGCGTGACGTCGGTGACTTCTTGTTTAGAAGTTCGTTGCACTCTCGCTTAAGCGAGTGGCAACTGGTGGTACGACTGCTTAAGCAGTCGACCAGCCTCCTAACCACCCTTGCACGCGAAGGTAAGACGGTCTAACCGCTTCCTCGCTTGTGCTGAAGGTGTGCTAAGTAGTACGAAACAACTTGTAGAAGTGCCTGTCTACACTTGGTAGCACCAGTAGTCCTTCCCACGACCTGTCTCTCTGAGCGTGCTTGTGGTTAAGATGGTCCTTAATATGGACCGGAGTGACTTCCTTCACCTCTCTCAACATCATAGGGAGTTGGCAGAGCATATGGCCAGGGACTTGGTGAACAAGCCCTGGTCAATCTCTTGCATTGTCCTCCTGAGCAACATGTTGCTCAGTTGGAGCAATTTGAGGCGTTTGTGCTCGGACAGCGTAGAACGCGTCTGAGGTAAACAGCCAAGCCACCGCTGATCTATCAATGAGACTCAGGATGAGCTTAGGCTTGAGCAAGCACGTAATGAGGCGCTCAACAGAACTGTTGAGACGCTCGCTGCCCGGCCTGCTCAACCGAGGCCCATTCGGATGGACCCTCCGAAGTTCGATGGAAGTAGCCCTCACACGATTGTTCACTGGCTATTAGCCGTGGAGCAATGTGGAGTGGCGCAGCTCATCAAGGACGACACCAGAATGGTGTCGTATGCCATGTCCAACTTGCGTGGCAAAGCGTCAGAGTGGGCATACTCTGTGCTGATGGCAAATGCTGATGCGTTTCTATCATGGATGATCTTTAAGGCAAAGATTCGCGCCATGTATCAGCCGCCTAACAACGAAGTGTTGCTTATGGCGCGCTTCTTTGGAGCACGACAGGCGAAACGCTCTCTGCAAGAGTTTGTGCAGGAGATGCGTTCTCTGTCGGCGTCCATCAATGGGGAACCGATACCAGAACGTATCAAGGTGGCCACGTTCATGAATGGACTTAGGCACGGCCCATCGCGTCAGGCCCTTTTCAAAAAGGTGCCAGCGACGATGGAAGAGGCAATTGACATTGCCTTAGTTGAGGATCAATCCTACAACAGCTCCTTGGCACCAGTCTATTACAGGCCGTCGTCCGAGAAGTCTGATGCCAATCCTATGGAGTTAGGCAATGCAGATATTATCTGCTACAAGTGCGGCAAGCGAGGCCATATGATGGCTCGCTGCTATGCCAAACTTGCTGCTGGTGCTAAGGCAGCCAGCAAGAAGTCTCCCAACCCGAAGGGTGGTTTGAAGAACCGTGCACGTCGCACGGATTCAGATTCGACCCCTGACAAGTCGGGAAATGCGGGAGCGCAGTAGGGGCGGGATGCCCTACTGTCGCGGACTCTGAAGCTACCCCTAAGTTCAGAGTGATCGAACAAAGGGTTAGCATAGTCCCTGAGGTTCCGAAAGGTCGGAACTCAACCCTTTTGGGCTATAGCGCTCGTGTACGAGGCTATGACCCTTCTCATGGATTCGGGTGCATCACAAAACTTTGTGAAACTCGCGGCTCTGAAAAAGAGACCGGCGAGTTATGAGTCGCTTTGCCAGGATGGAAAGCGAAAAGAGGCGATCGTTCGTTTAGAGAACGTCGCGTCTGTAAGATCGGAGGGAGTTCAAGTTGAACTCGCATTCAGTCTCATTGACTTTTCTTGTAAAAAGAAGTTCACAATGCTAGGAATGGAGAGTCCATATGACCCCATCCTAGGCATGCCTTGGTTGACTAAACACCAACCATGGATAGACTGGCGTACACGCACAGTCTCTAGCTCTACGCAAGACACCGGAAAGGATGTGCTCTTGCGAGAGGCTTATGTGGCTGATGCTTTGTCCAACACAGTCGAGGGTCCGATGACGTTATGTCAATCGGCACCAGTAATTACTCAGCTCGAAAGAGTGGTGTAGTTGGAAGTGCACTGGCGGAAAGCCAGGTGACACATATTCCTACCCAGGTCGAAAAGACTGGTGTAGTGAATGGGGCGATGACAGGTAGTCATGCGTCCAATAGTCCTGCACAGAGCCGAGAGCCTGTGTCAGTTGATGGTGGGCTGACAGGAAGTCAAGCGCCACAAGAACCGGCACAGAGCCAAGAGCCTGGTGCGGTTGGAAGGAGTGTGTTAGCTGAGATAGCAACGACACCTTCTTCCAGGTCAAAGGTTGTGGTGACTCGAAGAACGAGCACCCGACGTATTAAGACGATCAAGGACACGTCGAAACGAGTGACCCTTGGATCAGTCTCGGTCCAAGAGGACGGACCTACGAGCGAGTTGTTCGAGGCCGTCAAAGACAAAATGCCGGAGGCATCCTCTGTTGAGGTGCTCCAACTTGTCTTGGCATCTGCCGAGGAGATATTAAATCTCTCGAAGATGACGTGGGATCTTTTCCTGTCCGAACTAAAGGAAGGAAAGATCCACGAGATAGTTGCACCAGTTCCAGAAGAGAACGTGGTGGACTGTTGCTCTTCATCCACAATGGATGAGAGCGTCTTGGAGACCGACAAGAAGAAACGGTTCGCTGCTCAAGGCTGGGAAGCCTTGAAGGACAGCCCGTTCGATGATGTTCTGTGGAAACACCGTGATGTGTTTCCAGCAGAAGTGCCGAGCCGCCTGCCGGCCGATAGGGGCATCAGGCACGAAATTGACCTGGAGCCTGGCACCAAGTATTGTGTGACCAGGCAATGGCCGTTGCCGAAGGAACAAGTCGATTACATCGATGAGTTCTTCGACAAGAGAGCCAAGGCGGGACATGTACGTGAGAGAAAGTCGCCTCACTGCAGTCCGATCTTCTATGTGCGTAAAACAACAGGTGGATGGCGCGTGGTTCATGCTTATAATAAGCTGAACACGGCCACCATTCTGGCGCAAACACCGATCCCGCGGAGCGATGCCTTGTTGAACTCCATGGGAAAGTCAACTATCTTTTCCGCGTTGGATCTGAAGGATGGCTACTATCAAGCTCTCATGAGAGATACTACTTTAGCCAAGACGGCAGTAAGTAACCCAAACGGTATGCTGTGGGAGTGGCTTGTGATGCCACAATGGTTGAAAAATGCTTCGGCAACAATCAACTGAGTGGTGGCTCACGTGATGCGTCAGCACGTGCCTACGCGCCCCATTACTTTGACGACGTGTTCGTGCATAGTAGGGCGGAAGACGGTCTGAGCGCAATAGAGTCGCACAAGCGTCATTTAGACGCTATGTTGCAGACTCTGGGTGACGCCAAATTATACGTAAACTTGCAAAAGTGCGTTATAAGGGTCCCCGAGATACCTGTATTGGGCTGCATCGTAGGTACACATGGTGTACGAGCAGACCCAGAAAAGGTCAAGGCTGTAGAGGAATGTACAGTCCCACGTCATGTGAAGGATCTGCGCCAATTCCTTGGTCTCGCTAATTACTTGCATACGTACAGCAAGAATTATGCGGAGCAGACTAAGCCATTGTCTGATCTTTTGAAAAAGGATACAGAATGGACTTGGTCAAAGGAGAAAGTAGATGCGTTCACAACAGTGAAGCAATCTCTTGTAGAGGCACCGGTCTTGGCATTGCCAGACGTGGATAAGCCCTTTATCGTCGTCTGCGATGCAAGCAATTTTGCAATCGGCAGCGCGCTCATGAAGAAGGATGACAACGGCGTTGACCGTGTCATATCGTATCAGTCTCGGCTTTTAAAAGCTGCAGAGCTGAATTACCCTGTGCATAACAAGGAGCTACTTTCAATTAAGTATGCCCTGGTAAAGTTTCGGGTGCACCTCTTGGGCACCGAACCTTTTGTGGTTTATACGGATCACGCATCACTGCGGACCGCTATAAATTCACCGCACCTCTCGCCTAGGATGGCGAGATGGCTAACATTCTTCTCTGAATTTAATTTCAAAGTTGAATATAAGCCGGGTAAGTCGAATGTCTTGGCTGACGCTTTATCGCGCAGACCAGACTTCGAGGCAAGACACCAGAAAAGTGTGTCTCGTGCGAAAGAGAAAGTTGGGTCGTCAACATTGGCAGTCATGAAGGCCTACCATGTGAAGAGCTCAATGGCCTCCGATATAAGGAGTGCTAGAGTCACGGCGAACAATGTCGCCTGCTATTGGATCATTTTAGTGGACGAAAGGTTACCCTTCCGTCGCACCTCAAAGCGAAAATTGTTCGCTTTATTTACAGTGATGGCCTGTTATGGCATCAACTGTCACCCTGTGATCTCTTGAGAATCTATGTCCCTAATGACACTGATCTCAAGCTGATGATACTTCACGAGTGCCATGATGCGCCATCTAATGGGCATCTGGGCTGGAAAAGACATTCTTACGAGTGTCAGAGGAATTTTGGTGGCCCCACCTATAATGTCGAATGACCAACTATGTTCGCTCTTGTGAAGAGTGTCAGCGCACTCTTCACA